GTGCGGGGAGGCGGGCAGGGGGCGTGGGTTGACGAGGGTCGGACCGAAGGGTTTCCTTCTGCCTCCATCCGACCCTCTGGGTAGCTTGCCAGGGCCGTCCGTGGCCAGGTTTGCGTGTCCCGGGGGCTGTGGGGTCTTGGAGGCGGGGGCCAGGTCGTGAGGCTTGCTCTTCGTCGAAGGAACGTGTGTCCCGAGCGCTGGGCGCTACTGCGCTGGCGTTCCACAAGCTTTTTTTGAACACCTACTGATGTGCCTGGTGCTCTCAGGGAATGCAAGTAAATTAGACAGGGCTCCCTCTCCTAGGATACAGTGGGAGATCTCTTAGGGTAGACAGCGCCCCTCTCCTGGGGTAGACATGTAATATTTGCAAAGTAGAGGAACAGAATGCCATCCTCATCTTTCAAGGCAGTGCATCATTTCCTCTAAGGACCTGTTTCTTGTTCTCTTAGGTCCCCACTCCTCTGTGCACCTTTGCTCTTTGTTCGTATCTTGATTATCGTCTAGGGGGATTGCTTTTTAACGATTATATGGCATAGCCAGAGAATGGTGTTTAGGAGCATAGACTGTGTTTCAGCTTTGGCCCTGCCAGTAACTTGCTGTGTGACCTCAGGCGTGTTACCTTACCTCTCTGTGCTTCACTTTCCATGTATGTACAGCCTCATAGGGCTGTAATGAGAAGTGAATTAATTTTTGTAAAGCAGTGAGTATAGTGCCTGGCACTTAGTGTTTAAACATATAAATGTTTGTAAAACAGACGTATTTGCTTCTCTATTTGGACTGTGGACTTCTTCAAGTTTACAGCTATGACTTATTTACCGTTTTGTTTTTAGGATCTTGTTTAGTGCTTAGCACACAGATCCTCGGTAAATGCTAAATATTTTCCCATTGAATAATTTCTTCTGGCTTGGACGACTAAGGAAAGTTTCAGGGAGAAAGGAAGGGGGCAAACCAGAGGCAGCCATCCGCGAAGGTGCTCCTTGCCCTGTGTTGTGTTTCCTCTTGGTGCTTATCACGACCTCACGTGTATGCGTATTTGTTTACCTTATCTCACTAGAGGGTAAGCTCTGTGAGAGCAGGGACTTATGCCTAGAACAGTGCCTGGGGTGCTGTAGACCAGTTTTTCAATGGATTTTTGTTGAATGAATGAAAGGATGGAAGTCAGGAATATGTACGTCTCATTTTGATGGTGTGGCTGAACAGTTAAGCATTCCCATTTTTGATGAAGGACTAGTCTGGCTGGAGTCAAATGCTGTGGGAGGTTGCAGGAAGAAATAAGGCCATACATGGGGTTTTTGTCACTGTCAATTAATGCTAATTATTTTCATTGTCAAGTACAGGATAACTATACTTGTCTTGAGAACTCTTGTTTCTTGGAGATAGCTTACTTTTTAATGAGAAAATTAATAGTTCATATAATTAAAATTCTGTAGCAAATCTTTCTGCACCTCTAAAAGAGATTTGGTCATTAGAAACCCAGAGAATTTTCCGGAGACAAAAGAACCTGTCTTGTTGGAAGCAACAGTTAATCATGTCAGTGAAAGAGACACATAGGAAGCAATTCCATGCATTCAACAAACAAGGATTGAGCAGCTTCTGGTTGCCAGGCCCCGTTCCACGTGTCAGGGAGACACAGAAGAGCAGATTGCGTGGCCCTCAGTGACTACACGGTACACACACACCCTGTCCCCAGCTGTGTAAGCAGTTGTGATACAGGTTAATAATGGCTGGGAAGAGGGATTGGTAGGCTGCTGTGACGGCTATGGCTGACCGGGAGAGGACAGCCCTTAGCCTGTCAGGGCCTCCCAGAGGAGGTGATTCTTTTTTTTAGACTTTTTTTTGGGGGGGAGGGGGAGATTAGCCCTGAGCTAACTACTGCCAGTCCTCCTCTATTGCTGAGGAAGACTGGCCCTGAGCTAACATCCATGCCCATCTTCCTCTACTTTATACGTAGGACGCCTACCACAGCATGGCTTTTGCCAAGCGGTGCCATGTCTGCACCTGGGATCCAAACTGGCCAACCCTGGTCGGCCGAGAGGCGGAACGTGGGAACTTAACTGCTGCGCCACCAGGCCAGCCCCAGAGGAGGTGATTCTTGAGCTGAAAGTTGAAGGATACATAGAAATTAGGGAGTCTGCAGAGACAGGCATAGATAAAAGCCTGGAGGTGTGAAAAAACCTGCTGATTTGGCAGTATTTGGTGGTAGGTCCTCACATTCCCCCGCCCTTGCCCTCTCTCCCTGCCCCTCCACCAGTAGATCAGTGTGACTAGAGTGTGTGCAGGGGAGTGGCTCGAGGGGTCAGTGGGGACCAGATTACAAAGGGCTTCATATACCATCCTGAGGATATGGGTGTGAGGGAGCCTTTGAAGGATTTTAAATGAGGCATTGAAATTAGAGGTGTGTTGCAGAGAGACTGGAGTTTTTTGAGGTTGTGCCAGAGTAAAGCTGACTGTAGCGAGAGCGGTCAGTCTGGAGGCCACACTGAGTCAGGCAGCAGCAGACAGCGTTCTAGCCCTAGTCAGCCGCACTGGGTGTGAAGAGCAGGGAGCACGGTGAGGTTTTTAGACTGTAAAGTTGTTGGGAGTTAGTGACTTACTAGAGGCCGGACTGTCGGCACGGAGGCCCCTTCCCTTCCAGTTTTAGCCCCAAAGCCTAGCTCCGTGCCTGGTGTATAATGGATGCTGTCCACATTTCTTGAATGAGGATCTGAGTGATTAAAAGGGTATGAGAGGGCGGGAGGAGTCTGAGAGACTAGAGTTCTGGTTTGAGTGGATGGATGTTGGCAAACTTCTGCGCTGAGAGTGAGATGTGGCAAAAGGAGCACATGGAGGGTGACAGTTAAGATAATGAATTCAGTTTTAGGCTTACTGAGGTTGAGGTATATGTTGCTAAGTCTGCCAAAAGTATTAAGGAAGCAGGTGGAAAAAAAGTTCTGGACCCTATGAGAACAGTCTCGGTTTGAGACAGTTGTGTTGACCCAAAATAACCAGTGACCATTGTCTAGATGAGAGAGGTGAGTTTAACCAGAGCCACAGGGAGGATTATCACCCAGGGAGGCCTTTTCCAGAAAGGAAGAAAGAGTTCCAGGGAAACACGGTTTCCTTACAGTCTTATGTCTTTTTAGAGCAAGGAATGTACGTTAAATGCACCCAGGATACATCTTCATAAATGTCTCAAAGAGGTGTTTAGTTGCCAGTTAGCCGGTCAACATGACCCTGATGTTGGGAAGGGGAACTTGTTTTAGGAGTTCTAATACTGGAGTTACCAGTAGGGCGTGGGAGAGGAAGCATGCATTCTTAGCTTGAGAGAGTGCCTTCTTTCCTTCACTGGTTAAAGCAGATGTACAGTGTGTGTTTGATAGGCCGAAGTCAGGGTTTTTTTAGTTCAAGCCAAATCAGTGTTGAATCAGAGTAACTCTACCCCATATGTCCCAATATGTGAACATCTCTTGTCAGTTGGGAGTGTCACAAGTATCCAAGTGCTCATTAAAGTTGTGGGTCTCCATGCCAAATGTGTCCACATGTAATTAGGAAGTGCCCCTGAGGTGAGGCTGGCGGTGTGTTGAGGTCAGTATTTCATTTGTATGATGCTGGTCAGAAAGAAGTCTCGTGGATCAGGTTGATCCCAAGTTCTTTAAAGGATGAAAGATAGCACCGAGGTTTTTCAATGCTTCTAGTTGTTGAGAAAGGGGACTACAGATGAGTCCAGTGCGGTTCATGGGACTGAAAAGAAAGGGTGGGAGCTGGAATGTATCAGAAAACTAGAAGGATACAAGCAGATTAAGGGCCTTGTGCAGGAAGTGATGTTATATTTTTAGTTAGAGGAGTATTTTGAATAGTGGAGCGTCTTAGTTCAGTTGATGCATGTGAAATACAATGGGAGCAACATAGAAGCTCAAGCTAGAAGTTCTGAGCCCAGTGGCCTCCTTCAGCAGAGGCCAAGAAGGAGCCTGGACCTTGAAAGAAGGCCCCTGTGGCAGTCTCAAGGGCAGGGGTCACGGGGTGCCTGTGTGCTGGGTGTGGGTCCACCCGTCTGTTGGGCTTCATGCCTCCAGCTGTAGGAGATAAGAGGAAATGAGATAGGAGAAGGAAAAGATTAGGAAGGGGAGGAAAGTTTCAACAAGCTAAGGGCTCATGAAAGTTTGGTAAGGAAGAGTAGACTGGACTTTTGAAGCCATGTGGAGGGAAAATGTTTTTATTTTACAGCTTGGTAGCAGAAGACAAGATAAATACTTTGGTGTTGATAATTCCCGCAGTGAAGATCAATTTGGGCAAAGGGAAGTGAGGAGAACTTCCTTTGGTTAGAAAATGACTTTCTAGCAATTTGATACTCTCTGACTGATTATCTGGTTGTGATACTGTGTGATTTTAGGGATGGCAAGTAATGACTGACGTACTTTGCCTTGGGAATGCAAATACCACGTGTTCATTTGTACAATGAGTGCTTTGTAGGTAAGAGCTCTGACACACCCCTTCTCGTCAACAGTTAATAGCTATACTTTAGTTTCTTTTCATTACTATAGAAACAAAGTTATGTATTTTTGGGTAGTGGAAAAATATTTGAATTACTTCTTCCAGGAAAAAAAGCATTCAAAATAACATGTAAAAATAGTAGGTATAGATTTTGTTTCTGTTTTTAAAGTCTTCTATATACAAATATGTATAATATATATTTACAAAATAAATAATATATAACTATTTATATGTATTTGAAAAGTACGGAAGGGTATGTACCGAAATGTTAACAGTGTTGACAGTGGTTGCCTCTGGGAGGTGGGCTTATGAATGAATTAGAATTTTTCTCTCCTTTTGTTGTTTCTTATTCATATTTTCTAGTTTTTCGTTTCAAAGAAAAATTTTCAAAAAAGTTTTTCATTTTTTTCCTGTATTGCAGAACTGTAACGACAGAATCAGAGGTACAGTTGCTAGGTGTGCAGTGTGAAATCCTATCTATAGACCAGTGGAATGCCCTCTAAACCCTGGGCTCTCTTATTCCCTTTCAGAGGACTCCACAGATGTTGGCGAGGAGGACAGCTTCCTCGGTCAGACTTCGGCTCACACGTCTACCCCGCAGACATTTAGTTACTTCTCTCAGGTATCGAGCAGTAGCGATCCTTTTGGGAATATTGGACAGTCGCCATTGCCAACTACAGCAGCATCGGCTGGACAGTCAGCATTCTCCAAGACCCCGACTGCTCTCGCTTTTACAACGGGATCCCAAGATATGTCGAATGTGTTTTCACCGTCCGTTTCGAAGGCTCAATATGGTGCTCCACCTTCTTCACAGATGGGAATAAATACTTATCTGCCTTCTCAGCCAAGTAGTCTCCCGCCTTCAAATTTTGGGAGCCCACCCCAAGGAACACCGCAACAAGGATACAATCCATATCGCCATACCCCTGTGAGCAGCAGGGCGAATCCTTACATTGCACCCCCGCAGCTTCAGCAGTGCCAGACACCAGGCCATCCCACTCCTCCTCCACCCTCCGGACCCCCTGTTCAGATGTACCAGACGCCTCCAGGAGCTTCGCCACCGGTAGGGAGACATGTTTTAGATCCTAATTGTTCACTCTAATTTTTAATCTCTCTCTCATCTTAGCCTATGTTTTTAAAAACACTGTGCTTTTAATAATCCATATGATGACAAATTATTTCTAGAAGCTATTCTTTGTAAGTTACATGCTTTGAAGTAAACATTCTTTTAAAAGTAGCTTATTTTAGTGGTTCATATTTTAGTTTATGTGTCTATTTATGGAAGTAGTAATTTATTTTAATGAGTTAACTTATGTCAGTATTTCCAGATTTTAATGTAAGATGCCAATAATAAATGTCACTCAGGGACATGTGAGGGTTGAAGCAGTTATTAACAGACTGCCAGCTTCTCATTTATTAATTATACTATTCAATCAGCCACTCAATTACAGGGACTAAAATTGATTACTCAGTAGTTTCTTTTATTTACATTTGTGGAGTTTGAATCTAGACAGCCAAACTATCCCGGGAGAGTAATGGAATAACATTTGCATTGGGTAAATTTGATGAAATTCCCTTATGCTTTTTTCCCAGCTAATTCAAGTGACTTCCAAAGGGCAATCAACTGAATCAAAAAAGGGAAATGATTAAAAGGAAGAATTGAGAACCCAACCCAGTGTGGCAGAGATAGCAGTATTATAAGCAGTGTAGCAGTATTATAAGCAGAGTGTAATCTTTGGGGATAGAGAATGGGCTCTGTTTTATCGTTTAATTTAAATCACATTAATACACAGACACTTGATAATCTTGGATTTTAGCATATTGGAAAATAACTAGACTCATAGCATGTAGTATGGTTAATAGTTACAGTTTTGCTAATTAAATTTTTGAAAAGATTTCTAATTAAGAATTTAAAAAAATGGTAATTTCAAATTTAAAGAAAAGTTTCAAAAAAAATAGCACAAAGAACACCCCATTACCCTTAACTCAGATTAACTGATCATTAACATTTTACCCCATTCCTTCTATCATTTGTGCACGTGCACACTGGCACAAGTTTGAGCATTCTTTCTGTCTCCCTTTCTCACTCTGAATATGTGCAATTTGGGGGGAAAACATTTGAAAGTCAGTTAGATACATTATGATTCTTTACTCCTCGATACTTTAGTGTGTGTTTCCTAAGAATAAGGATATTCTTTTATATAACCACAGTACAGTTATCAACTTCAGTAAATTTAGCAGTGATACAATATTCCAAAATGATTTTTTTCTTTTTCTTTTTTTTTTTTTGGTGAGGAAGATTGGCCCTGAGCTAACATCTGTTGTCACTCTTCCTCTTTTTGCTTGAGGAGGATTGTCCTTGAGTTAACATCTGTACCAATTTTCCTCTATTTTTTGTATGTGGAATGTTGCCACAGCGTGGCTTGATGAGCAGTGCATAGGTCTATGCCCAGGTCCAAACTCCTGAACCCTGGGCTCCTGAAGCAGAGCGTGTGAACTTAACCACTATCCCACTGGGCCAGCCCCCCCTAAAATGATTTTTGATTAAAAAATTTTAAAATAATTGTATTATGGCTTTAAAAGTATTTCCAGTGCAACAAATTTGAAAAATGCAGAATAATCAGAAGAATAAAAATTGCCCCTCTATCACCTCTCTTTTCATTTTGTTATGTGTCTGTCTTATCTTTTTCTAGACAAACATTCTAAGTGTTTTCTAGACAAACATTATATGGCTTCTGTGAACATGTTTTTAGATGTTAAGATTTTTTCCAAAACATTTTTAATGGCTCTAGGGAATTCCAGCATTTGAGTAAAAAATAATTTGTTTAATCAGATTTCTGTTAGACATTTAGATTGTGTCCAGTGATTTCCTAGTATGAATAACCTTTTGGTGTACATCCTTGTACATAAATTTTTGCTTGTTTTTGCAATTATATCTTTAGGATGAATTCTTAGAATGTCTGGCTCAAGGAATGTGCACGTTTTAAAGATTAAATAAATCACGGAAGACATATTGCTAGATTGAGTTCTGTAAAGGTATTAATTTACTTTGCTATCAGCGTGAGAAAGTCCATTTCACTTCATGACTGATTTTGGGTTTTGTTAGATTTAAGAAAAAGTTTTAATTGCTTTGGGGCCTAGTTATTAAACGAAATAGTTGCCCAGAAGTCAATGTAGGATAATTATTACTAATGTCAGTTTGGGTCTGAAGCAGATACAGAATTGTTCCTTTGCACAAACGTGATGGTCCTAACTTTTTTGTCTCCTCCAGGTTCCTCCTGCAGTGCAGTCAGGGCTGTCCCCTCCTCCACAGCAGCAGGCGCTTGCCAGACCTCTGGGTCCCCCCGTGCAAGTGCCACCTCCTTTTTTACTTCAAAGCCAATATGAACCTGTTCAACCCCATTGGTTTTACTGCAAGGAGGTAGAGTACAAACAGCTATGGATGCCTTTCAGTGTGCTGGACTCTCTGAATCTGGAAGAAATCTATAATTCAGGCAAGCACTGATCATACATCATTTCTGTCTGCTTTTAGGAAGAAAAGAAATAAAGGGTATTTGTCCGTGGCCTACTTTTTGTGAATGTCAGTTTCCTTAATCCTTGTAGACCTCACCTGGCTCTGTACCTTAAGATGGTGCTATGAATGCAAGTCCTGAGTTATTTGAGATAGAATTTGAAGAAATATTTTAGTAATTTTCTTCTTTAGTTTAAAAATGTTTTAAATCAGAGAAATAGAGTAGTTCATGTAATCCAGGTTTCAATTTTCCTATCCCTTATTTATTTATAGTTAGGCATTTGTAAAGTATTTCCTCTGGAACTCTTGTTCCTGAAGATGCTCTGAAAGAAATGTTCCACGGTCAGGTGAGTTTTGGAAATGCGTTAACTACATCCACCTCTTGAGATAGACAGTGCACAGGAGTGTCTTAAGGCTCTGAGAAATCTTGCAGTATAGGAGTATATTTCTTTGTCTATCCTGATGATATTTCATCATGGGACTTAAAAATCACCTGTTAATATCTTTAGAAACGTACTTCATGGAGCATTGCTGCTTTGATTTAAAAACAAAATCCATGAGTTATTTGAATTATTTTATGATTATGTTTTTAAAATTTTGCCCTGGCGGTTTCTTCTTCACTTAAGAAGAATCATAATTTTGAGCAGCACAGATTAATCTTAAACTTCTATTTTTAAACAAAAATGAGCTTAATTCTTTTGTCTTTAAGCATTACTGGTCACCGTATTCATTATTTCTTACTTTTAAACATGTCTCGTGACTGTCGGGTTAAAATGTGGGGTTTGTGCTGCAGTCCAGCCAGACCCTGAGAGCGTGGTCCTCGGCACGGATGGGGGCCGCTACGATGTTTATCTCTACGACCGGATGAGGAAAGCCGTGTACTGGGAAGAGGAGCCGGCGGAAGTGAGACGCTGCACGTGGTTTTACAAAGGGGACACAGATAGCAGATTTATTCCCTACACAGAGGAGTTCAGTGAAAAACTGGAGGTGCGTGGGCTTTATTTATTCCTTTATGCTTTTCTTTAAAACGAAGTAGATCCTTATACATTGGAGCCTCACATAACACCACTCATGGTGGAGCAGACTTTATTTGCAAGGGACCTGTCTTGATCCTGTTCACGAAGAAGATCGCTTTTTATGTGGTGCCATCGTTCATGAGGTGCTAATTGTGGCCTCAGTGTCTCAAGGCAGAATGTTTTCAGGGGCACCTCACAAACCTGAGAAGCTATTTGTATCAAACCTTCAAAAGCACTTAGTCTGCTGGGATCTGTTGTTGACAGCACGTGCCAACCGTATGGACGCTTTTCAGATTAATTCACAGTGAAAGGCTTGACAGTAACCTCTGATTTATGAAAAGAAATACAAAATAGAATGGGAACAAATGTCATGAGACTTATTAGCCGTTTTAAAACTGATGGTTAATGTTTTATATAATTGTGTTAATTTCTTGTGATAATTATACTTAGTAGTTGAGTATTAAATATTTGAAATAAGTTAAATGAATTCAGTTGCATACATGGGAAATGAGATATAGAACATTTTAGTTACTATTTTTTAATGTAGTTATTAAAACTTGGATAACCAACGCTAACGTTAAACATTAAAACAACACTAATATTAACATTTAAAGGGGCTCTAAAACATTAATCTTCCCTGGATTATATTTTGAATAGCTTCAAGCAAGGACTTGTGTTCTGTTTAGCAGCTGACAGTCAAGTTTAACAGCTGACTATTAATTACTAAATTGTTTTGTCCTCAAAGAACATAATAGTATAATTAATAGAAATAAAAAAACCCACAGTCTTCACATCCTTTCAAACCAAATTCTGCATTCAAAATGTATTTTCTTTATCCATATACATATTTTTCTAATAATAATATAGATTTTTTTGTGGAGTATATTTTGCTTTTTAAAAAAAATTTGTAAATGCAATTCTTACTTGTTATAAATTGTGCCTGCTCTGGAAATATTAATCTCTATAGTAGTGACTATGAAATACTATTCGATAACCAAATCAATACCAAAAGGCGAGTGTTGGTCTGAAGTAAGAGATTAGTTTGAGTTACGTAAGTTGGAAAAAAAGCTTGTTGAGAGCAGAGGCATCAAATTTTTCTCTTTTCAACCTGTAGTAAGAAATACGTTTTACATTTGAGCTTTAGTACACACATTTTGCACACACACACACATACACATATGTATATGTATATTTATTTACCAGAAACAGTGGTGTTTGGTAAACTGGTTTTCAGGGAAGAAAAAACCCTGATTTGTAGCATTTGCTGATTTCCATGGTGTAAATACTCTCACCATGGCCAATTTTAAGCTATCAACATCGTGTTACTGGACACAGAGTTGAGAAGAGATATGTGATCAGCTCTCGTGAGTTGGTGTGAGCCAGCTCTAACAGACCACTAAAAATAAAGGTCCATGGAGCAGTACTTACCCTTCTAGGTGTCATTCACTTTGATATTTTCCATTTCACTTAAAACGTTGATTTTACGGTTTATTAGTGGTCATGACCTACAGTTTGAAAAACACTGATTTAGAGCAGAATCAGAACCTAGTTAAAAAGGAGCAAAGAGTGAAAAGAGGGCATAAAATTAATTTTGTTCTTGGGAATACTAAATATCAGGATGCATCAGTCTCCTAAAACATAATTTTAGTTATTTGAATAAAGGAAAAAATGTGTAAAGGAATGCTGATATGTATAGCTTAACTTTAGACCTAAATAGTTAAGCAAACAAATGTGTACTATAATTTTTGGTACCTTCAATAGGATCCTACTGAAGGTATAATGTCTCAAAGCCGAATGTTTAGTCCTATTATTTTGAAGCTAAAGTATATATTTTCAAGTCTAAGCAGTATCTGAAAGTATACAGTTTATTTTAACTGTATCTGATTATAAATGAGTAACACTGGGTTTGCGAGTTGGGTAGCTATCCACGACGGACCATCTGAACAGCACATGGCTGTTCTTAACCTAGGGAGACCTTAGCTCCTGGTTAGCCACTTCCAGGAAACTAAACCAGATCGGGGAAGAGGAAGAGCAGATTAGGAAGTGAGAAAGCCAGTGAGAAAAAGAGAACCAGCTGCTACGTATTGCTCAGTATTGTGTGGGTGATCCTGTCCCGTCAGCACTAACATAAAACAACAGAACAGTTGGAAACAGAAAACACCTTTAACTTGATGATGACGTGATTGTCTACATAGAAAATCCTGGTTACATAGAAAACCAGGATAACCTCTACCGTTGGCATTGTGAGTCTGTGGATATAAAATCAACATATACCAATAAATAACATTCTAGTACAATAGAAATAACAAAATAGAAACCATAATAAAGACAAAAGATACTATTTATCACACTAACAAAACTACAGGCTAAGTAGGAAAAAAGTAGAACAAAAGATATATGTGAACTTCATGGAGAAAAACTATAAAACAGATTTGAGGGACATAAAAGATGATCTCAAGAAATGTAGCTAATAATTATGTTCATAGATGCACAGTCTCAGTATAATAAAGATATCATTTCTTCCCAAATCATTTTATAAATTTTATGTAATCCCAATCAAAATGACATCAGGGTTTTCTAGGTAAAATTTGCAAACTGTTCGTAAATTTTATATGGAAAGTCAAAGTGTCAGGAGTAACCCAGACCATTTGGAAGAAGATATGTGGACACTTGCTTTACCAGACAAGGTGTATTATAAAGCTGTGGATTGCGAAGGGAGTATGAAGAAATGAAAATAATTCTTAAGATGGTGAAACTTTTCTTTCTTTAAACATTTTTGTTTGTAATCTTGCTTTTAAAAATTATAAATAAATATGTTTAAAATTTAAAAAAGTAAAGTGAGAAAGAGGGTCAAAGGGATAGAGGCTGGTGGAGAGGAATTGTTACTAAATGACTGTCCAGGAGACACAAAGAACCCTTTCTGTTTTGACCTGATTGTCGGGTAGTCATTGTTATTAATTTTGAAAAAGACTTTGGACAGTGGGTGTACCAGAGGTTCCCCCTTACTTCATCCTGAATCTCTCTCCAGGAGGCCCTCGCTTTTGCCTTGTAGACAGCAGAGTAGTGCATCTGGAGGAAGAGGAGGAAAATGGTTGAACAGTTAAGTCTTTGGAGTCAGAAAGTTGTGGGTGGGCGTGAACTATAGTTCTTACTTTGCTACTCAGCAGTGTGTAATCTCGTGCAACTGTGAACTTAAAATGTCTACTAGGGGTTGGATTGTGTGTCCCCTACTTCCCAACCCCCCAAAAAGATGATGTTGAAGTCCTAACCTCCGGGACCTCAGAATGTGACCCTACTTGGAAATAGAGTCCTTGCAGACATTATTAGTTATGATGAGATCATACTGGAGTAGAGTGGGCCCCTAATCCAAAATGACTGGTATCCTTGTGAGAAGACAGCTCGTTAAGACACAGAGGGAGAACAACACATGAAAATAGAGGATTGGCGTGATGCATCTGTAGGCCAGGGAACGCTAACGATGGCTGGCACAGCACCAGCCCTAGGAAGAGGCAAGGCAGGAGTTCCCTCTGGGTTTCATAGGGCGCGTGGCCCTGCCGACGCCTTGACCTCAGGCTTCCGGCCTCCAGAACTTAGACAAATTTCTGTTGTTTTAAGCCACTCAGCTTGTGGTACTTTGCTGCGGCAGCCCTTGGAAAATAATGAACTGTCTAAACCTTGGTTTTCTCCTCTATGTAGTGGGGATAGTGTTATTTAGGAGTGATTGAGAGTATTGATTGAATGAGGTAATGTTTATTAAGTGGTAAACAAGTATGGTAACCAGTTGGCATATGAGAGCTGCTGTTACTGTTATTTTTATTACCATCATAGTTATAATTTCCTTTCACACTTTCTCTCAATGTGGTGTAGATTTGTCTTATGTGTTGTTTCCATTATTGCAGGCTGAATATAAAAAAGCTGTAACCACGAATCAATGGCACCGTAGATTAGAGTTTCCAAGTGGAGAGACAATTGTTATGCACAATCCAAAGGTAATGATAGTAACATATTAAAGTGTTAGGTTCATTTTAATAATTATTTTGCTGAATGTGTTTGATAAATGTTCATTTTTATTAATTTCTGTAGTGGGGATATATTCATTACAAGTGCATTGCTTTTAAAGGCTTACTATAGTTCACCGTGATTGTAGAAACAAAAATGAATTTTAAAGTTTTCTCATGAAATTTTTGTTTATGACAGCATGTTAACTGAAGCTTAGTATGTACCACTGAAGTTGTTTGATAACATTTTTGTACTTGATCTGGGCTCAGCAGACTTCTGTAAAGATAGAGGAAATACTTAAGGCTTTTTTAGAGGCCCTGTGTTTTCTGTTGCAGCTGTCAACTCTGCCATTGTAACCCTGAAAGCAGCTACAGATAATATGTAAACCAATGAATGCGTCTATTTCAATAAAACTTTATTCATAAAAGCAAGTGGTAGGCCACATTTGGCCTGTAGGCCATCCTTTGCCCACCCTGCCCTTGATGGTCTGTTTCAACCTTGAAAGTAAAACTATGTCCTTCCTCTTTTTATTTATATTGTCTCCATGAACTTTTCTTGTTTTTTTAAGATACTAATTAGTGGTGTTCTGATTCTCCCATTTACCATCCTTAATCTCTCTGAGTTCCAGGTTCCTTACCTGCAATAAGATTTACCTCCCAGGGTCATATTTTTAGATAAAGTGAGGTTATTTATGCAAAAGCATCTAGTATAGTGCTTGGCATACAGTAGTTTCTCTTTTATTTCAAAAAAGTGTAAAAGAAAACAAAAGTAATCTATAACCTAACTATATCTGTAGTCCTTATTGATATTGAAATAAATAAAAATAGAAACATATTCATATGCCAACAAAATTTAAACAGTATGAAAAGGTATCAAATGAAAAAAGGCTCTTAGCTCTGCATTCCCCCAATTTTTCCTCTTGGTGATAACCACTCTTGACCTTTTCCTTTGTTTTTTTTTAACCTGTTGTTTTTTAGACAAACACAAAAATTTTGCATACCATCTTGGATGCATTTTTTTTTAAGAAAAACTTTTGTGTGACACTGGGCTAAATATAATATAGTCATGTGCTGAATAATGATGTTTCAGTCAAGGACAGACTACATATGGAACAGTGGTCCCTTAACATTGTGACCCAGCTGACAGATTCCTGTAGCCTAGTGATGTTATAACTGTTGTAAGCTTGTAGCACAGCCACAGACTGCGTGTATGACAGTGGGCCCGTAAGATTAGTACTGTATAGCCTAGGTGTGTAGTAGGCTATACCATCTAAGTTTGTGTAAGTACACTCTGTAATATTTGCGCAACAACGAAATCGCCTAACAATGTAGCTGTCAGAATGAATCTCCGTTGTTAAGTGGCATGTGACTGTACCGATGTGTTTGTGGCGATGCTGGTGTAAACAAACCTGCGCTGCCAGTCATAAAAGTGTAGCACATAGAATTATGTACAGTATATAAGACTTGATAATAAACGACTTTGTTACTGGTTTATGTATTTACTATACTGTACTTTTTATTATTTTAAAGTGTATTCTTTCTACTTACAAAAAAAGTTTACTGCACGACAGTATGCTGTGTTATGCTGGGAGCAACTTCATACACCTCCTGTTTACCACATCTCTTGATTGCATCATTTTCTCTTGTGCTTGATTTAATCCAATGTTGTTTTGTTCATCATGGCACCTAAGTGTACAAAATCCCCTGCTGATGTTGCCGGTAAGAGGCCACGTTGTAGAAATGAAAAGTGATTAAGGACTATGAAGGTAGAAAATCATGACGGTTATTGCTTGCCAGTGAGGCATGTCCCATTCCACCATAGCTACGATCTTGAAAAACAAGAAGAAAGTGACAGAAGCTGTTAAAGGATCTGCTTCGTCGATGACAATGAGACTAACAAAAATTCGAGAAGGGTCTATATCTGACATGGGGAAACTTCTACTGACGTGGATTGAAGGCCAGACACAGAATTGTATCCCTTCCAGCACCTTGATGATCATGGCCAAAGCAAAATGTTTGTTAGCGATGTTGAGAGAAAAGGCTGGACCATACTACAATGTCGAATTTACTGCTAGCTCTGGGTGGTTTAAACGATTCAGGAGTCGTTATTCATTACATCGTGTGGAAGTGAGTGGTGAGTCTGTGAGTGCTGATGTGAAGGCAGCTGAAGCATTTTTGGAAACTCTAGATAAGCTGAGTTTGGAGGAAAATTCCTTGCCAGAGCAAATATTCAATATGAATGAAATCTTCCTATTCTAGAAACAGATGCCTGAAAGGACTTTCATCTGTAAGGAAGCCAAATCAGTGCCAGGTTTCAAGGCTTTTAAGGACAGGATAACAGTCTTGCTTGGGGGCAATGTTGCAGGCTAGAAATTGAAACCCCTTGTGATCTGGCATAGTGAGAACCCCAGGGCCTTTGAGCATATCTGTAAGCACACGTTTCTGGTGTACTACAGCAGCAGTAAGAAGTCATGGATGACCCAGCTCCTCTTCCAAGATGCCCTCTTGAACTGCTACACCAGCAAAATGGAGAAGTACTGTTTGGAGAATAACAAACCTTTCAAGATTTTGCTGATTGTTGATAATGCTCTCAGGCATTCTCCTTTCATTGGTGATCTTCATCCCAATATTAAAGCGGTGTTTCTCCCTCCAAACAGCACCTCTTTGATCCAACCCATGGGTCAAGGAGTTATTGCAGCCTTTAATGCCTACTACCTGAGGAGGCTATTGCTGCAACTGAGGAAGACACTGAGAAGACTGATGCAATTCTGGAAGGATTAGAACGTCTATGACTACATCAAGAACCTTGCTTGGGCTTGGGGTGATGTCACCAGGAGTATACAAATGGCATCTGGAAGAAGTCACTCAAGAGGTTCGTCCATGACTTCAAAGAATTTACCAAGGATGAAGAGGTTGCAAAAATCAACAAGGCTGTAGTTGAGATGGCAAACAACTTTAACCTGGGTGTGGATGAGGATAGCATTGAGGAGCTCCCAGAGGTGGTTCCTGAGGAACTGACTAAAGAGTTGTTGGAAGTGGAACAGGAATGCATGCATAGCTGCAGAAGCAGCAAGAGAAAAGGTAAATGAAGGAGAAGAGAAAGAACCGCCAAGAAAATTCATTGAAGGGTTTAGCAAAATCTTTTGCAGACTTCAACAAGCTCCTTTAAAAGTTTGAAAACATAGACCCCAACACTGAAAGGTTTTCATTAGTAGAGAAGAATGTTCATGGTGCATTATCTGCTTATAAGCAAATCTGTGATGAAAAAAAGAAACAAACCAAGCAAACCATCGTGGACTTATTTCTGAAGAGTGACACCTTCTCAAGAAGAGCCTCAGGCAGGTCCTTCAGTATTCCAGAAGAAGACATTCTTCTCACGGATGACAGCTCCATGCACATTATTGCCGTGAAGACCTTCTAGTGGGACAGGATGCTCTGGAGGAGGAAGACAGCCATGTTGATGATCTTGACCTGTTGTAGGCCTAGGCTAATGTGTGTGTTTGTGTCTTAGTTTTTAACAAAAAAATTTTTTAAGTAAAAAAAATTTTTAATTTAAAAAATAGAGAAAAGGTTATAGAATAAGGATATAAAGAAAGAAAATATTTTTGTACAGCTTTACGGTGTGTTTCAAGCTGTTATTACAAAAGTCAAAAAGCTGAAAAAAATTAAAAAGTTTATAAAAGTAAAAAAGTTACAGTAAGCTAAGCTTAGTTTATTATTGAAGAAAGAAAAATTTTTTAGTGAATTTAGTATAGCCTAAATGTATAGTGTTTGTAAAGTCTACAGTAGTGTACAGTAATGTCCTAGGCCTTCACGTTTGCTACCACTCACTCCCTGACTCAGAGCAAACCTACAAGCTCTTTCATGTGAGTGCCCTATACAGGTGTACCATTTTTTATCTTTATACTGTATTTTTACTGTACCTTTCTATGTTTATATGTGTTTAGATACACAAATACTTACCATTGTGTTACAGTTTCCTACGGTATTCAGTACAATAACATGCTGTGCAGGTTTGCAGTTTAGGAGCAGTAGGCTATACCATAAAGCCTAGGTGTGTAGTGGGCTATACCATCTAGGTTTGTGTAAGGACACACTATGATGTTTGCACAGCCACGAAATCACCTAACGATGCATTTCTCAGAACATATCCCCATCGTTAAGTGACGCATGACTATACAGTTGATTTAAAAATATATGTCTTCCTCAAAAGTAATGGGCAAATCAGTTTTTGGCATTCAAATTGAATTTGTATATTAATTGGGAATCTTGCTGTTTAAAGGATTTTGCCTTAAGTGTTTCTGTAAGACAAAGATTCCTCTGTTCAAGGTAACTTTTCCTTAATTTCTTATGTGTAAACCTGGATTTTTATATTACATTTTTAAATCAAGATATACGACTTCCAATTTGGTTGTATTATTTTCCACCATAAGCATTTGAAGGAATGGTATTGATTTGCTTAGTTTTAATGGTTAATGAACAATTGCAGGACTCTTACAAAATTGGTTTTGGGAGAATAGTATTGGTACTTGATTTATAGACCAGCCATACTATGAAGTAGTTTATTATGTATTGAAATAAATTATTTTTAATTGTAGTAGAAATGAATTTGGTAATGAGCTCTGTCATAATCCTTCTCTTGTATCTTGAAGGTTATTGTTCAGTTCCAGCCTTCATCAGTGCCAGATGAATGGGGAACCACACAAGACGGACAGACAAGGCCCAGGGTTGTAAAGCGTGGAATTGATGATAACCTTGATGAAATTCCTGATGGTGTGTATAGTTTGTTTAGGACCAAGATCATTTTTAGACTTCTCTATTTTAGCCTCGTTTTTTAGAATGATGAAAAAAGAAACAGTTATTAGGATTACTTGCCATAACATGCAGAAATCAGCCAGGTTGGCACATATCTTTCTTTTTAATTTTGTTACTTTTATATATATTTACTTTTTAATTTAAAATTTTGTTGATATACAAACCATGTAATACAGATTTTAAAATATGTATTGTTGTAAAGCAGCACTTTGCTTGTTGAAACTTCTAGGCTTTTGGCAATATTTTTGGGCTTGTTTTGTCATGCCTCATCTTATTTGTATTACTTTAGTGCAAAAGTTGGCAAACATTTTCTGTAAAGGGCCAAATAGTAAATATTTTAGGCTTTGCAGGCCATGTGGACTCTGTTGCATCTTCTCAACTCTGCCATTGTATTGTGAAAGCATCTATAAGGTATGTAAAGAAATGGGCATGGCTGTGTCCAATAAAACTTTATTTATAAAAACAGGCAGTGAGCAGGATTTGGCCAATGAGCAGTGAATTGCCAACCCCTGCTCCAGTGTATGTGTTTTGGTTTCTCCTATTATACTATTTAAAGTATGGATTTTATTTTGACAATTACATACTTCGTGTTTGTTTTGTTGTCTCATGAAATTACAAAATAAATGTACTCATATTATGAATCTGAATGAAATAACTAAAGTAAAATAGTACATTTAACTTGGAGATATTACTGTATAGTTGTATGAATCTAACAAATTAAAGGGAAGGATTTTGGGAAAAGATTTAAAAGTTTATATTGGCAAATTGCGTCTCCATGTGGGGCTGAGTGCCCTGAGGATTTCCGAAGAAATCGCAAGGTTATGGAGCCTCTATAGCTACAAAACTGCCGGTTGTCATATCCTGATAGCCTCTGGGATCAGAGGCTGCCTGCTTCCTCCACTTGGTTTAGTTCTCTGTTATTTCCCAAGTGGACTTTGAGCTGTTATTCTCATTTGAGAGGGTAATAGGATTATTAGCCTTGAAGGGTCATGAATTTCTTTGGCAAGTTTGTGACGACAAAAGAGATATCTAGAATATTGCTATTCAAGTAAGAAAACCCAAACAATTTCCCATCTCATTGTATGTATGTATGTATTTCTTTTGTAGGGGAAATGCCTCAGGTGGATCATTTGGTGTTCATGGTGCATGGCATTGGACCTGTGTGTGACTTGCGCTTTAGAAGCATTATTGAATGTGGTAAGTGGTAGTCATTTTATTTCATGGAATGATTTGAGAACTAATAGAAGGACTTTTAAATGTTCATTTTTAAGATAGTTTCCAGCTGTATACTACTGGCTGAGGGACTGTAAGAGGAGATTTAAATGATTACTGTGAAATATTAATTTGTACTTGATTTGCTCTTATGACATATGTAACTCATAAAATTCTGGGCTGTGAAGAATCAGAAGGGCTCCTGGAAATAACTTAGCCTCTCTGACAGACATCCTCTGCCTGAGCACTTCCAGCAACTAGGAACACCTGTGCGTTGAGCCGATTTAAAGTGAATTAGTTGTGAGAAGTTGTTATTGGAACTATGACTCTGCCTGGTTTATGTAGATTTTTGAAGTTTTATTTTTATGTCTGTGTAATAATAGTTAATATTTATTGAATACTTGGTATGTGCCAAGTGTCTTGCATGTAGTGCATCATTTAACCCTCACTGTAAGCCTTTGGGGTCTAGGTGCTGTCACTGTTATCCTCTCTGTAGGTGAGCAGCTGAGGCCCAGAGGGTGAGCTCGCCTCTCCCATGTCATGGTCCGTGGGTTCTGGAGCAGGGAGCCTGTGGTGGGCAGTCTGCTTCCAGAGTCGGTTCCCATGCTGCCCTGCTGCCTCCCAGTAGTCATAGTTAAACTCACGTTTTTCAGTCATTTATACATTCCTCTAAAATAATGAAAAGTTGAAAAGAACTTCTTAAAGGTTGGAGTTTTTTTTTTTTGGACTAATTTTGTCATCATTTTTTTTTTCCCTTCAAAAGTTTGTGTTAAAAAATACTGGCATATTGGCGGGAATTGCTGGTTACCTATCAAACTAGGAAAATTTAATCAATTTAATTTGTCTTCCCTGATTTTTTTTTTTTAAGTGGATGATTTTAGGGTGGTTTCTCTCAAATTGCTGCAGACACACTTCAAGAAAGCTTTAGATGATCGGAAGGTCAGCAGAGTGGAGTTCCTTCCAGTTCACTGGCATAGCTCCTTGGGCGGGGATGCCACGGGCGTTGACAGGTTTGTGGATTCTGATGACTTTTTAGATTAGTCGAGCTTAGATTTGGAATTCAAACCATAATGTGAAGTAGTTTATTATGACTTCAAATACATTTATTCAACAAATTTATTTTAATTATATGCTTGCTCTGATATATGATTCAATACTGGCTGTTAGGTTTATATGCTGCTTTTCTGTGTGTGTGTGTGTGTGTGTGTGAGCGTGTGCATGTGTACGTATGTATTCCTATTGTAAATATTTAAGAGAATCAAAGAAATTTAAGCTGGTTTAAAAATACTATTCTAATCTATAGTGGTTTAGACTGGGGCCTGTCCTGTATATCGTAAGATGTTTAGCAGCATCCCTGGCCTCTACCCTCTAGGTAACAGTAGCACCACCCCGCCCGATGTAACAACCACAAATGTCTGTAGTGACTGCCGAATATCCTCTGGCAGTAAAATTGCCCTTGATTGAGAACCACTGATTTAGATTATGGTTCCTCAGTGGAGACTCACGTGGCAGGACAATTCTTTGTCATGCCATGGTGCTGCATCCATTGTAGGCCGTGTGGCATCCTTAGTCTAAAGGCCAGCAGCACTCACCAGTAACTGTGACAACTGAAAATGGCCCACTCAATTTTGAATGTTCCCAATTGAGAACCACAGATTTAGATAATATTTATGCTGAGACATAGGGCTAATAACACATCTGGATTTTAGTGAAAGTCATAATGTTTCAAGGCATGGGTTTAATAAAACTGCAATTTGTAATCCTACAAATAGCATTCTATGTTATTCCATGGTAGGCCCTATTATGAGGGTGTTTTCTTTCTCTGGATGTTCATAAACCTTAATATGGCCATTCTCAAATCAGGAAAGATTTTCATTCCATGCAGCTCCTTTCTTGCCCCTTGCTACATTCTCTATTGTCCTTTGCACCACGATTTTTGTCAGGTACTCTGATTTCCTATTAAGTGGAAGAAAGATGGAAGAGTAGGCTTTTCTCTTTAAAAATAAAATTAAAATCTTTGCATGCGCCTTATTTTTATGATAACTCTTCAGAGAATCCCGAAATTCATAGTACAGTTATAGGCACACATAACAACTTCTTTGCTTTATCTTGATTTATTTGTAATAACTCTGGCTACAGAATCAACTTATAGTTAGCGTATGGGCCTCTTTTACTCGTATTTTCAGAAATAAAAATCTAAACTTTTAAAAATCCATAGATTTAAGATGGCTACTGACTGAATTTACTCTTTTTTCTTTCTAAACAGGAATATTAAGAAAATCACTTTACCAAGTATTGGTCGGTTTCGTCACTTTACCAATGAAACCTTGCTAGATATTTTATTTTACAATAGCCCCACCTACTGTCAGACGATTGTGGAAAAAGTAGGAATGGAGATAAACCGTCTGCATGCACTCTTTATGAGTCGGAACCCAGACTTCAAAGGAGGAATCTCTGTTGCTGGTCACAGTTTAGGTAAAACTGTCAAATAGCCACATTTCAAACATAATTTTTCTAGCGTTATCACTGCTTTCAGTGTGAGTGACCATTGTTAGTGCGAGATTTAGAATTAGAGAGTTTAAGTTTTGTAAAGGGTAGACATGAACGCTTTGAGTTTAGATTATGCCATTGATACTTACCTCTCCTAGGAATTACCTAAGAGTGCTTTATATTTTAATTTATCCTGCTGTTTGGTAAAACAAGAATATTGATTGTCAGATCTTAATTAACGTCTAACTTTTGTATGACTTCTGCCTACAGACTTTGGGAAAAAAAGTAGGAGAATTTATTTAGTGTTATAAAAATATCTAGAGCATTATAAAACAAAATGCTTCTTTTTCTTAGGTTCTTTAATATTATTTGACATCCTGTCTAATCAAAAAGATTTGAATTTATCAAAGTCTCCTGGGCCTTTTGCTGTTGCTAATGGAGTTGTGAAGCAGCCACATTTTCAGGAAAAACAGGTATGATCCAATTCGCATTTAGATTTAGAGTTGGAGCTGAACAATTTTCCAAAATCTGAACTGTTTCCTGAAATGTTTTATATGTCAGAATACACTGAGGTTTACAAGTGTAATGGAATCATGTGGCTTGTTGTTTGAGTTTCTCACTCTTCTTCCTTATGGATTATAAATTTAAATGTGAGAGAAAGTTTATGGTTTAAAAAATATGGTAAGTAAATTATTTTAGGAAATGGGAGCATGAATGACTTGTTAAATTTATATACTTTTTCAGAATATTCAAACTTTGGATGACACACTACCTAAAATTATGATTTGTCTGTAGAGCACAATTCTTTAAAATTTTTTGTGGATCAGGAGACATTTTATGGGAGTTTTTCTGAGCTTTGCAATGTTCTTGACTTTTTTTTTTAAGGCTCCTGAAGAGCCAAAGCTGACTTTGGATGAATCTTGTGACCTTGATGTTGAAAATGAAGAAGTCCTAACTTTGCAAGAAACTCTGGAAGGACTTAGTCTCTCTGAATACTTTAGCACTTTTGAAAAGGAAAAGATCGATATGGAATCTCTGGTACTGATGATCGTTTGATTCATTTTTATTTAAAATTGTTTTTCCTTTATAAGATTGAAGATTAACAATGATTTAAACACTCTTGCGTCACAATATATTCCAGATAAGGCAGAGACTTAAATGTTTAAAAAATTGAAAAACACAGGAGTTTTTTTTTTTAATATAATTTGGGAAGGCTTTTCTAAGTATGACACAAAATCCAGAAGCGAAAAGAAAATTTGCATAGCAAGAGAAGCCATAAACAACATCTGAAGGCCAATGATAGATTAAGAAGAATATTTGGAACACACATTTTAGACAAAGGGCTTATTTCCTTACTATTCAAAGCTTCCACAGATTAGTTACACAAGGACCATTAGCACAATGGGAAAATAGGCAAAGAATATGAACAGATGATATATAGAAAAGGAAATAACAAATGGCTTCTTGTCATATGAAAACTCATGGGAGGAATGCAAATTAAAAGTGCAGTGAGATTTTTTTTTTTTAACCTACCAGTTTGGCAAAAATAAAGAATTTGATAAAATACTGTGTGGCCAGGATGAGGGGAAGTAGGCTCTGTGACATGTTGTTTCTGAGTGTAAATTGGTACAACCTCTATGAAGGACAGCTTGGCAATATCTTTTAAAATATGAGAAATACGTACCTTTTGCCCAAGCAATTTCTCGGCCAAGAATAATTCCTACAGAGAAATATGAGCACAAGAATATCTATAAGGATACTCATTGCAGCACTGTTTGTAATAGCAAAACTGAGCAACATCTTCTGTGTCCACCAGTGGGACACTAGTGAAGTCATTTTTGGTGCATCCACATAATGGGATACTCTGCAGCTGTTGAATAAATGATCATGGCAGTGTCAGAGATATTGGTGTAAAATGATGTCTAAGATATGTTATAGGAAAAGAGCAAAGTTCAGTCCTGTCTGCATAGCAGGCTGCACACACACAGTTAAACATGTAGATACTGTGTGTGCATAAGATATCTGTGGAAGGAGGGCACGTTGCCACCAGCTGCTGCTGAGAGAACTGGGTGGTCCGGCCAGGAGTGCAGGGGAGAGGCTTCATTGTATGCTCGACTGTAGCTTTTGACTTTTGTATAATAATGTGTATTTTCTGTTAAAAATTAATAGAATGATTTAGATTTGAAGGCCTAAGATTTTACAGCCTAAATTAACCCATGATTTAAAAACAAAAAATATTAACTTTAAAAGAATTGACTGGATCTTAGATTGCTTTAGATGATATGGTTTCTTTTTATAATTTTCCTTATTTCAATTTCAGTTCATCTGTCACTAGACTGGATAATTAATGTGCTTGTTTGTTTACTTTTAAAGCTTATGTGTACAGTTGATGACCTGAAGGAAATGGGCATACCCCTTGGACCCAGAAAGAAGATAGCTAACTTCGTAAAACATAAAGCAGTTAAATTGGTAAAGTTCATTTCTGTCTTATAAAAGAAGCTAAAACTCATATGTGACTAGCATATTTTTTGTTAATGCCGTTATGATTTGGCCAGCTAGTGTGCTCCCTGCCCAAGGGCACGGTGGTGGAGTTGATGGAAGCCCAGACTTTGGCATCAGCCACGATTAGATTTAAATTCCAATTAGGGTAGCTGACCATCCCAGTTTTCACAGGACTGAGAGAATTCCCAGGATGAAGGACTTTCAGTTTTAAAATTGATATTTGGGGATATCCTGGTGCAAAAACTAGGTTAGTCCTGGACAAATAGATGAGTTGGTCACCCTAATTCCAGTTCAACCACTTATTAATTACATCTTCGTGAGCAATTTGCTTAACGTTTTTGATCCTTGGTTTCCTTCATTTCTAAAATGGGAGTGATGATACCTGCCTGATAAATGTTAGCTCATTTTCTCTCTTCCTGAACCTTCTGACCTTCTACAGAGATAAGGACACCCCCACTAAAATCTTTTTAAATACTAATCAAAAAGCAAAAATACAATACAAAACAAAGTAACAGCTAAAAAGTATTTTAGAGAGAAAACAACTGGGAAAAACTCACGTCTCTTTAATTTTCGTTTGTTAATCAAATTAATTTTGCAGTGATTTTCTAAAGACTTAATTAGAAACATTAGCCCTTAGGGTGGCTATTTTATTTTATTTTTATTGTTGTTAACATGGTCTTTGTTGATCCTTCCATCTTTTGGACTACTGTGGTTCTTTTGTGTTATGTATTTAGAACTTAACATATGCCACTTTCTATGTAATATGACTGTAAAGTCATAGACTGACTTATTATGGTTAACTGAAGCAGTTGAGTTAGTCAGCATTTTATGAATATTCTTTGGGTCAGGCCCTGGGCTCAGTTTTGGGGATTTGGAGATGAGCTGAGGGTGTGTGGTCTAGTTCAGGAGAAGGATTTGCCCATGGTGATGACGCATCAGTCGTGCAGCGGAGTGCTGTGCGTGCGTCAGAGCCGGAGGAGGGGCGGCAGTTCTGGCCTGGGCAGAAGGGGCTGGGGTTGTGAGAGAAGACTTCCCCGAGGTATTGATGCTTGAGCTTGAAGGAGAGGTGGGATCAGGGGAAACAGCCTTGCAGGAGCGGCTGAAATAGCACATGAGCTGGTAATAGGGTGGGGCTGAGGGTTCCGGAGGCCAGAATGGCAGTTTGTGGAAGTTTGGATTTTTCTCTTGTAAGAGAGTGGTTTCTGGCCGTGAAAGTCATGCTGCTTTTAAACAGACATCCTGAAATTGCTGACCTGCTTCTATCGCAAATCATGATTAGCACCAAATCGTCCCTTCAGTCTAAATTTTAATTTTAACTTTAGAAATTTTAAAATTTAAAAATTTGTGCTATAAGCCGTATTTAATTTCAGTATCTGTAATCAATTTTTGAGAATATTGACTCCTTCCTAATTTTTCCAGTCACGTTTGCTTTCCTTTGCCATCAGCTAGGGCCTACTGGTTGATGGAGTACTAAAGGAAAAAAGAATCAAGTTGAGACAATTCTGTTATCAACTTGATTTTTAAAATTTTATTTTTTTGTGAATTAGGCCACAGTTTCATTTTAGCGGCAGTAAACCACTCTCAGCTTTTGAGGGGACGTTGAGAACCACTGCTGTAGGGCAGTGCGGCAGTGGGGACAGTTCCTTGATGGGCTTGTGTTTAGAGAGTTCGCTTGGTTACTGTGCAGAGCTGGAGGCTGTCAGGCATCTCTTAGAGTAGTCCTTGTGATTCTGCAGCAACTCAGTGAGAGATGGTGGGGTGTAATAGGAAATGGAAGAGACGGGTGCAACTCAAGAGAATTTTAGACATAGTGTTTTTGATATGTAGTTGATTGAAGGTAATGATGAAGATTGAGTTGAGAAAGAGGTTATTACCTCTGGCACTTAAGTTTAATTTCATTTTTTCTGTACATGGAATCATTGTATAGTTTCAGTTTACAAAGAGCTCTTCACTTGAGGCTCACAACAGCTCTGTGAGGTAGATCCCAAGGTGTTAAACTCTGATGAACTCCGTGGTCAAACCAAAACCAGGACCCGAGTGTGCTAGTGTCGTTCCTTTCTGTGCCTAAGCACACGTGTCTCCATGTGCACATCAGTGAAGCACAAGCCTATGAAAACCCAAGAAATGAGAAGCTCTGTTTTCAGGCTCTACATCATGTCCTTGATTGTGTTCTGTAATAAAAGGAAAAAAGTAGAAAAGTAGGGGCTGGCCCCGTGGCCGAGTGGTTAAGTTCGCGCGCTCCGCTGCAGGCGGCCCAGTGTTTCGTTGGTTCGAATCCTGGGCGCGGACATGACACTGCTCATCAAACCACGCTGAGGCAGCATCCCACATACCACAACTAGAAGGACCCACAACGAAGAATATACAACTATGTACTGGGGGGGCTTTGGGGAGAAAAAGGAAAAAATAAAATCTTTAAAAAAAAAAAAAAAAAGTAGAAAAGTATTCTGTAGTTCTTGAAAATTTTCTAAAAGGAGCCTGGTTTATACAGCGTAGTTGCTTGGATATATAAGTTATGGCATATAAGAATGTTTTGAAAGGAGTAAAAATCTATAAAGTGATCTTATTTTTTAAATTCAAAAGTAATTGCCTCTGGATGAACCATGAAACTTCTCAGTCGTGTTGCATTGATTGCTTTATGGTTTTTACAGATAACAAGGGCTGCCAGATCAATAATAAGATAATACGGTGTGTCACATTGATTTACTGTAACTGAAATAATGGGATCAAAATTATCCAATTATTTTATAATAAGGAGATCAAGTATTTGTGGCCTGAGTGCTTTTCCCCCCTTTAAACCATCTTAGTGATTTTCATTTAAAGAATAGTTTTAATGTTTGGAATATTGATAGTCAAGTATGTGTGTGTAAGTTCACTTCACTTTAAAATTATTGCATATGTCTAGGGGAAATGAAAGTGTGCAATAGCACAGTTTATAATCTGTTTAGACAGCTCTCTTAGCAATGTAGGATGTTAAGTCCTATGAATATAAGGGGAAGTACTTCTGAGTTGAGAAAACAAATTTAAACTGAAGCACCCTCCACATATTCTTATTTTGGATTTTGGGTTTAATCTTGTGCTGCCTCCAAAGGGCAGAGATAGCCAAGATCCAAAACGTTTTTGGTGGAATCAGTTCCAAGCTGGCTGGCAGAGAGTTTTCCTTTTTCTGTGTTGCCTGTTGAATTAACTAATTGGACTTGTTTCCTGATTTCTTAGTATTTGGAATTCATTAATAGACAAGATCAGTTTGGCCAGCTGTTTTGTTTCGGCACTGTTGGTAGCTGTTCAAATAGAGCCTTACACAGTCGTTCACGGCCTGGGGAATGAGGGCTGCTGACACACGTGCTTGTGGGGATGGCTGAGTCCACCTGCGACACACGTGCTTGTGGGGATGGCCGAGTCCACCTGCCTGACACACGTGCTTGTGGGGATGGCCGAGTCCACCTGCGACAGCTGTTCACGTTCCCCTCACATTGTCGCTGCTGTGTCAGGGTGTGATCACAAACCAGTGTGAGTGGATTTCCTCTCATTACTACAGAGACACACCTGTTCCACAGATGCTCCCAAAGCTTTTGCTTACTTATTTATTTATGGAAATGCATAGATCTTAAGTGTTCAGTGCTGTAAGTTTGACAATTTTTGCACCTGTGTAATCACCACCTAAAGCAAGAAAGAACATTTCTGTCATTCGTAGTTCCCCCATGCTTCTTACTAGCCAACTTCTCCCACCATTCAACTACGTGCTATTCTGATTTCTATCACTATTGAATAGTTTTGCCTGTTCTAGAAGTTCATATAAATGGAGTCAACCCTTTGTACTCTTTTGTATCCGTCTTCTTTCACTCAACATAATGTTTTTGAGTTTCATCCAATTGTTGCATCATTTGCAGTTCATTCCTCTTTATTTCTGAGTAGTTATTCCTTTGTATAAATATTACCACAATGTGTTTATCTGTTCTTCCCAAGATGCTTTTGAGGAAAACTTGTCAGTGGCTCTATGCAGATGTAGTGAGTGTAAACACGTTGAGTGAAGAAATGTCTCCTAAATTACACATCTTTATAGGAAGTATGTATTTTACAGTTACGTAGTACTTCTAAACTGTGTACAGTTGAGATCATAAAGGAGGAAGTTGACATTTTTTACTTTTTATTATTAAAATTTAAAATTATATAGGAAAGTAGAGTGAATAGGATGATAGCCAATATTTAGATTTAATTGTAGCTGTTTTGCTGTATTTTTTTCCTTTGGCTCTTAACCTTTTATTTTCTTAAGAATTTTAAACTAAATTATAGACATCATTTCTTCCTTAAATATTTAGTGTGTGTTTTTAAAAAGGACGTTTCTCTAATCACCACAGTGCTGTTGTTGTGCCTCAGAAATGACTAATCATGCCGTGACACTGAGATAGCATGGTTCGTAGTGATAGCTGATAACTGAACTTTTCCTCAAGGTTGTGTTATGAAATGTTGGTATTTCACAGGAACAGAAAAAAGCAGCATCAGAAAAGAAGGCAGTGATGGCCGCTTCGACAAAAGGACAAGAGGAAAGTGCTCAGAAAGCTAAAGAAATGGCTTCTATCCCCTCAGAATCTAACGGGTCCAAGAGGAAACTTCCAGTTGGTGCTTACGTTTCTTCTATGCATGTTGATTATGAGTCTTTTGAAGTTGGCACTGGACAAGTAAGTTTACATATTGATGAGGGCTGTGTATTTTATGTTGGAATCACATATTTTTATTATTTGGATTGGCTTTAAGTTCTTGCAATATTTATTTAACATTTATGGGGGAGTGAAGAAAACTGATTTTCTCTTAATAAAAATTGTATGCTTCTTTCATAATGTTCAGAATAAGGGATTGAATGTGTACTGAACATGTATTCTAACATTTGAAATGGTCTTTATTTCAGTTTTTCCACCACTCGTAATTTTGTGGCGTTAGTCTCCCATAGCCTGTAGCAACAGAAATGGTGATAGTTAGAAAATTATATTCACAATATACCTAAGTTTCTGTGAGAGAAACTTGCTGCATTCACTCAACTTATGTGTTTTAGTATTCACAATTCTTCCCTTAGGGAAAAATTCCTATAAAAATTGACCAAGTAGTTGATCATGCTGCGTTTAATAATATACTTTAATATACTTGTATCTCAGTGGCTTAAAAGTATTGAAATCTTTTTAGACAATGGTACTTTCAGTGTATTTATAGTTGTGCATGTAAGGTTCCATTGTCATAAGTGTGTTCATGACTGATTTAAAGAAGGCAGAAAATGGACATGGATGTTTGCTGTGTGCCTGTTCAAGCTTTAAAGCCCGATTCATCGATAAGGATTGTATTTTAAAAATCTCTCTCTCTTTTTAAACATGAGCAAACTTGAACAGATTCTAGCAAATAAAGGCAGATATTTCCTCACCTAACTGTGAAGGATCAGAGTGTAGAAGATTTGTGGAACGAGAGGCTCCATGCCACCAGGACACTGTCACTGCCTGCCCCTCTCTGGGAGTTGACTTTCTTAAAACTGGAACTATGGGTGTCGGTGGCCCTTTGCTCATCTCCTTCCAGCTTTGGGACCACAGAGGAAAAGGAATCTCCCCAGAGAGGTCCAGTCAGGGAAACTTCAAGGAGAGATTTTACTTGACCTGGTTTGAGTCACAAGACCATTCTGGACCAATTCTTGTTGCCTGGGGAAGGGGGCACAGGCTGATTGACCCAGTGCAGTCACGTGCTCCTCTATGGTGGGTGGGCAGAGGTTGGCAGGCAGGATCTGTTACCCAGAGGGTTGTTGGGCAGTCCAAACAATAGCCCCCGTGTGCATCATTCACTGCCAGAAAGCCGAGAAATACTGATCAAGCAAAAGAGTGAAAAAATAATCTCGTCATCTCCTTTAGCAGAACTCAGCACTGTTAACTGTTTGACAAGGCCTTCTAGACTTTTATTTGAGCATATATTTACATATTTTAACAAAAATGGGAAAATACATATAATGTTTTGCTAAAACATTATTACTGCTGGGGCTGGCCTGGTGGTGCAGCAGTTAAGTTCACATGTTCCGCGTCGGCGGCGCGGGGTTCGCTGGTTTGGATCCTGGGTGGGGACAGGGCACTGCTTGTCAAGCCATGCTGTGGTAGCTATCCTACGTATAAAGTAGAGGAAGATGGGCATGGATGTTAGCTCAGGGCCAGCCTTCCTCAGCATAAAGAGGAGGATTGGCAGCAGATGTTAGCTCAGGGCTAATCTTCCTCAAAAAAAAAAAAAACCATTATTACTGCTGTTTTCAAACAGTATTTTATGAATATATTCCCATGTCAATAAATATTTCTCTACAACTTCATTTTTAATGACCGGTATGTTTCACTGTTTGGAAAGATAATGATTTTTTCTGTCATTTACTGTTATTGGATGTATTAATGTTCTAGAGCTGCCATAACAAAATACCACAAACTGGGTGGCTTACAACGGCAGAAATGTATTGTCTCACACTTCCGGAGGCGGGAAGTCCCAGACCTACGTGTCAGCAGGGCCACGCTCCTCCGAAACTTAGAGAGGAGACTCCTTCCTTGCCTCTTCCTAGCTCCTGGTGACCTGCCACGTGTTCCTCGGCTTGCAGCTACATTGCTCCCGTCCTCCATGTCACATGGCGTCCTCTGTGTCTTCACGTCATCTTCCCTCTGTGTGTGTCTGTCTCTGTGTCCAAGTTTCCCCTTTTTATAATAACGTCAGTCATATTGGATTAGGGCCCACCCTAAAGACCTTGTTTTAACTTGATTACCACTGTCAAGACCCTCTTTCCAAAGAAGATCTGAGATACTGGTAGCTATCTTTTTTGTGGGGGACACAGTTCACCCATAACATTGGACATCTAGGCAGTTTCTGATTTTTCACTCTTTGAAGCAATCCAGTGATGAACAGTTGTAAACCCATTTTCTGTGCACATTCTTTATTATTTCTTTCAGTTACATAAGTAGAAGTGGGATAGCTGGGCCAAAGGATATGCACTTCAGAATTTTGGTAGTTACTTCTACTTGCCCCTGGAAAGGTTGTGCCAGTTTACACTCCCACTGGCAGTTTATAAGATTGCCCCTTTCCTTCACTAGAATTGGTATTTTCCTTCTCCTTTAAAAATATGTAGTATTCTTACTTTTGTAACTTTCTTCTAGAGAAATAATTTTCTACATGAAAATAGGAGATTTTTACTTTCTTTTTAGGATTTTATTTATATCTCTGATAATTTTATAGGGAAAATGGTATCTTACTGTGTTTCTTTGAACACTAGAGAGGTTAGATATTTTCTCGTATATTTTTTAAGCATTTTTATTTTGTGAAGTGCTAGTTTTACCTATTTTTCTATTGAGTTTCTTTTATCTTTACTGATATTTAAGAGTTCTTTACATGTTACGGATGTTAGCCCTATGTCATATATGTTGTAAATACTTTTCCCAGTTTGTAATTTTTGTCTTAATTTTCTTTTTCCTTCTTTTTTTTCTTGGAGCTGGGGGAAAAAACATAATCTTGAGAGCATCTCCTATGTGGCCCTAATTAGTAGCAAAAACTATTGAATTTGCGGATATAAGGGCAAGCTGAGGGATGTGAAGTCTAGACTTGGTTAGAAGGGGCAGCCTAGTGTAGTAGAAGGAGCGTTGGATTTGGCATTAGAAGTCTTCATTCTGCCACTCACTGGCTGTGTGCTGTTGCGTAAGTGACGTCACCTATCTGAGCTTCACTGCCTTCATGTGAGAAGCGGGCATGATTCTGGCCGTACCTCCCTCGTTCAGTGGACCTCTCTTAAGCGCTTGGATTATGTCATTCATTGTTCTTCGCGCTCAGGATACTGAAATGATGACGACACACATCCTGCCACTGAGCAACAAATGGAAGAGCTTTGTGAACGGCAGAGTGCTACATGAGTGTAGGCACTTTCTCTTAGTCTGGGCAGTTCTCCCTGAGCTGAGAGCCTACGTGCAGGCTGCTCTCAAACAGAGGCTCTTTTGGGACAAGTCATTTTTCTAATGGAAAGAAATTTGCCTTAACACGTGAGGATGGTAGTTAAAATAGAAGTAACAGTCTTTGGGTGCTTAAAGATGCCACGCTCTGTGCTAAGCACTTTTTGTGGATTAGGTTATTTATTTTTCAATCACGTTATGAGTTTGGCATTGTTATGATTGCCATTTTATAGAAGAGGAAGGTGAGGCTGAGGCAAGAGAGGTTAAGAAACTTGCCCCAGGTCGTACAGTAAGGAGTGGAGCCAGGATCCAAACCCAGGCAGTTTGAGTCTAGAATCTGCAGTTTTAAGCACATTTCTAACTATAATAAATATAATATTTACTATTTACTGTATATATTATGCTATACAACAAGTAAAAGTATAGCCAGAGGTTGTGATAGTCTATAAAGATTTTAAAGGGGCTGGCCCCATGCCGAGTGGTTAAGTCTGTGCACTCCGCTTCCAAGCGGCCCAGGGTTTCACAGGTTCAGATCCTGGGGGTGGACTTGGCATCACTTGTCAGGCCATGATGAAGCGGCATCCTACATGCCACAACTAGAAGGACTCACAACTGAAAAATATACAACTATGTACTGGAGGTATTTGGGGAGAAAAAGCAAAAAAAAAAAAAAAGAAGGTTGGCAGCAGTTGTTAGCTCATGTGCCAATCTTTAAAAACAAAAAGATTTTAAAGAGGAATTTTTTAATCCTTTGGCGCCAGCAGCAGCTGTCCATGTCAGTGATTATAAGCATCATAAGCCACGCCTTGAGGGGCACCATCTGTGTTGGGATGTTTTCAATTAAGTGCAGTTCCAGCTTGAACTTTGGAATTTTGTATTATGTGACATTGGAATGAGCATCTTTTATTGTTTTTTGATTCTTTCTAGGTTTCTGTTGTTTACAACTCATTAGACTTTGAACCAGAGATTTTCTTTGCCTTGGGATCTCCAATTGGTATGTTTCTTACTATTCGAGGAGTGCACAGGATAGATGAGAACTACAGGCTTCCCACCTGTAAGGGATTCTTCAATATTTATCATCCAGTGAGTGAATTAAATTTACTTCCTATTTTGAAGAGCACCTGTCCTCTTTATCCTAATAGATTCTCAGATTCTTATTTCCTGGGAATTAGTACTGATTTTGATTTTGTACATCTCAGGTGGCTGTCCTAATAGATATAGTATGATGCTTTCCTGTAAGTTTTTCTACTGAAAAGCCTTTGTCAAGGAAATAATTCTGTTGCTTTGCTTGTGAAGTAATTTTACTCACAAACTTGAAAGTTATAATTTGAATAATGTGTGAAAGAAAAATCAAAATCTCTGCTTTCCCAATTGTCTCTTTTCTCACCCAACTAAGATATATAACTCAAAATAAAACAGCTTTTCATAAATTTCTAATTCTTCTATTTATAGCTTGATCCAGTGGCCTATAGATTAGAACCTATGATTGTTCCAGATTTGGACCTAAAAGCAGTTCTCATTCCACATCATAAAGGCAGAAAAAGACTTCATTTAGGTAAAAAAGCAAATACTATAAAAACTTCCTTCCTGTCATTTTGTAATCTGTCATTTGTAATGAATTATGAAAATTTTAACACAAAGTCCTTTCTGACAGAATTAATGTTATTTGAGTGCTTACTATGTTTGGAACCTGTTTACTAAATATTTGGAGGAGCTATAAAGAAAGTTATGAATGAGTTCCTTCTCCATGATTACTTTCTCTTGATAACATTCTAACTGTTGAAATAATTAGGAATGGGGGAAGTTGGTAATAAAGTGATGAGATGCATAGATTTTAATAGGATTTTGTTATAATTTTTGGAATTGGGAAGCAGAATAACATTTGGACTAATGACCAAACCATCAAGAAGTAAATTTGATGTTATCTAAGTCAAGTGAGCATTGTTAGTTTCTTGCTAACTAGACAGTTTTTTCTATTAAAAAAATTCATTAAGCATAATGGATTGATAATAATTCCAAGTAGGGTTTAGGTTTCTCTTATGCCTATTAATGATGTATGTTACTTATCTATAGATTTAAAAAGTTGGGTGGAAGGGATGGGAGTGCGAAGGAGAAGAGAGGGAAAAGTGGTCATGCAGTCTTATTTTAAAAGTGTTTCCTTCTTTTTTGCTTACTTCATGCTTTTTAAAAATACTTAACTTTTTTGAAGTTAAAATGAGAAATTTGGTACTTGAAGACCTTGAATTAAAATATGATTTATTAGACAAAAGTAGAAAAGGTGAAGGGGCAGGAGTTTCTTCATTTTTAAATTGGAAGTTTAAATTGTGGTTATATCAGAATCTCGACTTCTCAAAATGATTTCCACATTACAGATGAGAAAAGTCATCATTTTAATCTTGTAGGCCCATATTTTAACTTACAGTTAAAAAAACCCCACATGACTGTGCTTACATTTTCATGGTATTTGAACTCCTTTTTTTTTTGGAGGGAGGAAGTTGATAGGTTTTGGCTGGATCAAGTTTAGTCATTAAAAAAATTGACAGAATAAGATTCTTCAAAACATTTGAACATGCTGCGAGTTCTTGGCTGATAAACTCTGTATATTTGACATTTAAAAGAGGAATAAGAGGTCTTATCCTGTCTGAGAAAATAGTATTAACTTTTGTTTTAATTTTTGTTGTGCAGAATTTTACCCGTGACCAATAACTTGATATGTCATCTTAATTTCTTTAGAGTTGAAAGAAAGTCTCTCTCGTATGGGATCTGATTTGAAGCAGGGTTTTATTAGCTCTCTGAAAAGTGCTTGGCAGACGTTAAATGAATTTGCCCGTGCTCATACCTCTTCAACTCAGTTGCAAGAAGAATTAGAGAAGGTAGCCAATCAAATCAAAGAAGAGGAAGAAAAGCAAGTAGTTGAAGGTAAATGTGACATTTGAGGCATTTTCCAGTACAAATGTTACTTATGAACATCACACTTATAAATTACTTAATGATGCTTTTCCATTCTAGTCTTCCTGGTTACAATGCAGAGGCTCTTCCTGTAAAGGAAGATCTGTGTAGATAATCTGTACTTCAGAATGCATGTCATCTTTTTTTATTAGGTTTTTGCCTAAGTTACTGAGCTGTTTACTCTGCAACCTTAGAATTTTGTTGAGATTCATAAGCCAGAGTGGAATGTCAGAGTTGAGAGGCGAGTTTGTATTCAGGCATTTTGAAGACCCACTCTGAAAAACTATCTTGCTGATGCTCTTGTTGAATGAGCTGTGCCCACTGTGGACTTCATATGCAATGTCAGGTCATTGTGCCATGATGTTTTCGACTTTTTCAGATTCTAATTCTATTTCCTTTCTTTCTACAATGCTCTCTCACCCCTTTTCTTCAAAACTTCTGTCAGCTCGTTGGCTCTTTCTCCTCTCTCTCGAGTAACCAGCCCCTCTTCCCCTGGCTCTTTGGAGGAATGGGAAGTGAGCCTGGTAGCTCCTCAGGTTGCTACGTGTGTCAAGCAGTGTTCTCATTGAGCCCAGAGAGTCAGCTAAAGTCAAAGGATAATGATTAAGTGATTGACTTTGATATTGAAATGGTTTAAATTCTAGCAGAAAAGATTGTTGAAAGTCCAGATTTTTCCAAGGATGAGGACTACTTAGGAAAGGTTGGAATGCTAAATGGAGGCCGCCGAATTGACTACGTCCTTCAAGAAAAGCCAATAGAGAGTTTTAATGAATATCTTTTTGCTCTTCAGAGTCACTTATGCTACTGGTAAGTATTTTCATCTTTGATAACATTCGCATGGCCTTTAGGTGCTAGCACATTCAGCAGTTTTAGACTCTTTTGCTGATTTATCATTTGTTATGGAATATTAATTTGAATGCCCGTATACTCAAAATCAATATTTTCCCCCTTTAGTTTAGTTTCCACAAGGTGGCAGTATGTCATCTGCCTTTGGCCAGAGGCCTTTGGTTCTTGCACACTGCTGTTGTAGGGATGGCTTTCACAGAATGCGAGTGGTAGGGCCTTTGAAAAGCCATCCTTTCATATATCCCCCTGTCAACAAGGAGAATTGCAACAGTTATTTTGGAGCTGAATGGTATCCATCCAGTTTTTAAGGACAGCTCTGAGATTACACTACTTTTCATTCGCCCTTCTCAGGTAGGGTAGAGGGGAACGAAAGCAGCACTTTCCACCTTTATGCCCAGAGGTTAATTTATCCTAATTGTCTCTTAAGTAAATATTCGTTTCTTTTTGATAGGGAATCTGAAGATACCGCCCTGTTATTACTTAAAGAAATTTACCGAACAATGAACATTAGTCCAGAACAGCCCCAGCATTGATGGGACTTCACTTTCACTGTGTGAGTTTATCTTACTTTGTGTATAAAGTCTGAATGTTTTATTTGGAAGTCTTTTTATGGAGTTGATGTTGACTGTAATTTTCTTTTTTCCGTTTCTTCTGTTTTTTAAAAAAATTCAGAATACAGACATTAAAGAAGAGAATTGCTTTGCAATCTACATTTCTGACTTGTTAAACAGTCTATTTCTGCATAGAATTTGAGTTCTTTTATTTTCATTTTCTTTTTAAAATAGATTCCCAGGAATGTCAGTTAGGGATTCCTTTGTTTGTTGGTAACAGAACCAGATTTGTATTACCTTAAACAAATAGAGGTTTATTTTCCTTATGTAACTGGAAGTGTTCGTCTGTTGAATGATGCCCCCGGACACCCAGGTTTTTGCATCTTTTCACCTGCATGTTGGCTCTTTCTGCCTCATAGTTACAAGATGGCTCCCATAGTTCCAGAAAGCATATCTACAGTCAAAGCGTAAAGGGGGCGGGGAGAGCAGTATTGCTTATATCTATCCCTTTTAACTAGGAAAGCAAAAGCATGTCCAGAAATTCACTCATGCCTGTTGACTAAGCCTATGTCCCATGTCTCCCCTTAACCCCAAGTTGCATGAACGATTGTAAAAGTTTTGTTTTAAGCATTCCAAGTCTTTATAGAGGGAAGGAATGGAGAAAGGGGTTAAACCTATGATGAATGAGCCATGCTGTAAGTCGGCCCCACTCTGTATTCCTCCCTGTCCTCCTGAGACACCTGACACCTATTTTTCCTCACTAAATTATGCATCACTTTAAAAACTAGGTAATGTGTTTTTTTAAAAGTTAGAAATTTTAAGGCCTTTGAAAGAGTGAAATACAAAGTAGTGAGCTCTCAATTGCTGAAATCAAAAGTAGCTCCTGGCACCTTTTGATTTTCTAATATTATATAAGTTCAACCTCCCCCTTCTTATTTTGGAGAGAGAACCATTTTTAGTAGGATTTCCTTACAGTAATTTTCCTGAGCATGTCCAACAAAATATCTATGCATGTTAAAATAAAGGGATCTCATTAAATATATTGTTCTTCAACTTAATGTTTTTGATCAACCATATAGCTTGCACAGCTTTCCATATTAGCTTGTGTAGCTAATTTTCATTCTCTTTAACGGTTACATAGTAATCCACTGTATGGCTACATCCCATCTTATTTATCCAGTTTCCTGTTAATAGACATTTAGATCATTTCCTAATGTATATTAAGGAGTCTTAGTTAATCGAGTACGTAAGAGGTCTGAAGAACTATTTTATCATCAGACTCTTGATACAGTTTTATCAGTTCTCAAGATTTCTGATATTATAATATTAAAATAAACTAAATGTAATGTCAAAAGCTACCACAGTCCAGATTTTCAGTTATTCATAGTTATTCAAGTGGTTGACAAGTATTTATTGAGTACCTGCTGTGTACCAGGCACCAGTTTTCATGCTGGGGATAAGTGGTAAACAAGATGCATTCTCACCTTTAAGGAAATTATTTTCTACTGTGAGCAGATCGACAGTAAAGCTGTACTCTACCCCATAAATGAATTTCAGATATTGATAGGTTCTGTGGAGAAGATAAAATAGGAGGATGTGGAGAGTGATGGGGTTGCTTCTGGGAAAGCCTTGCTGGGTTGATGACATTGGAGTTGCAGTGTGAGGGCTGAGAAGGAGGTGGACGTCTGAAGCTATGGGGAGAACAATCCAAGCAGAAAGAAGGGCAGCTGCAAAGGTTGTGAGATGGAAGCAGGCATGTACTGTGTTTAAGGAACAGAAAGCAGACCAGTGTAGCCAGAGGGCTACGCTGAAGGGGAGGTGGAGGGAGATGAGTCATACAGGTGCGTGGGCCTGATTGTGAGTGATCTGGTAAGGCATTCACATTTCACTCTAAGTGTGATGGAAACAGTGGACGTTTTTCAGAAGAGGAGTGTGTGATTTGGTCTGTACTTTAGAAAGATTGCTCTGGGTATTGGGTGGAGGATAGACAGTTGGGCAAGAATGGTGAAAGGGAAAAGAGTTAAGAGGCTGGTGGTGACCTTGACTAGGGGTATAGTGGGAGGAATGGTTAGAGATGATTGAATTCAGATCTATTTTGGAGGTACAGTTTCAGACTTAGGATGAATTCATTGTGGGGAAAGAGAGTTAAGGATGACTCGGGATTTTGATGTGAGCAACTGGGGGGATGGCGGTACCTTTTCGTGGGAGGGAGCAGGGCTTTGGGGGAATAAGGGGGCTTTGGAATGAGTAGTTCTGTTGTGTCAAGTCAGTAGTTGATGATGTTGGTCTGAAGCTCAGAAGAAAGCTAAGAGCTAAAGATGATAACTTTAGACTCATCAGCATATCCTTGCCATTTGAAGCCACCCACTGGGCGCGGTCACCTAGGAGGAGTCTGTAGGTGGAGAAGAGAAGGGATCTGTGCAGAAGGAGGAGCCAATAAAGTGAAAGAAAATCCAGGGGCTTGTCATCTCCAGGAAGGTGAGAGAAGATTGCTTCAACGAGAGAGCAATCAGCCGTGTCAGGTGCTGCTGAGAGGCCAAGTACGAGGAGGACCAAGAATTGCCCATTGGCTTGAGGAGGATGTAGGACATCATTGGTGACCTTGAGCAAAGCTGTTTTCATGTCATGACAGAGGGAAAGTGTGTTGAGGAGGGGTAAGGGATCAGAGAGAAGAGTTTTGCTATGAAGGGTGATAGAAAAAAGACAGGGGGACATTTCATGATATTAAGGGGTGTGTGTTTGCTGATGACAGTGATACATTATTGAGGGAGAAATGGGTAATGCGAGAACAAAAGGGGATCATTGTTGAGGGAAATACTTGCAAAGGCAGTGCAGGCTGGGGCCAGGGCAAAGGGAAGGGCCCAGCCTCAGAAAAGGAGCAGGGGTGCATCTTTCATGGTGCTGGAGGAGGGCAGAGTGGGCACAGGGATGGAGAGTGGGCGAAATTGTGGGAAGAGGCGGGGTTCTCTGGTTACTTGAGTGTCCTCTCTGAAGTGTGTGAGAAGAAGGTCACCAGTCCAGGGCTTGTGGGAGGCGTGAGGAGCGAGGAGCAGAATGATACTCATCTCAGAGCGTGGAGACGGGAGTTTACCAACAAAGAGTGGTAGGATTGTCCTGCAGGCTCGAATGTGCATTTGATATTTGGTCATAAATTTGAAGTGACTACAGTGAGCACAATTGCCTGACTTCTCTGGCCACCTGCCCGCTACTTGGGTGAGGTTTCAGAGTAAGCAGACACTTGGGTTTACTAGGATTAGGGTTTTGCCAGGTGAGCAAGACAGAAGACAGAGGAGCTAAGGGAGGTGATGGAGAGTGAAAAAAGAAAGAGGTCCACGGTAGGATGAGGTCAGAGAATCGCAGGAGAGAGGCGTACCCTAGTGAGTGAGCCAAGGCTGGGATGGGAGGTTTGAAGTGGGGATCGCTGAGGCAGCGCAGGGCCTCGCCGTGTCATAGGATCCAACGTCACAGGACCCAGTGTGGGGGCTGTTACATCTGCTAAACAAGTGCTCTGTGTGCTGCAAAAGCAATTTAAAAAAGGATGCAATAATAATGCCTCATACAGAAACCTTAGAAAATAGGTAGAGTGTTTTTGTTTCTTATTAACTTATAATTATGATATTTAAAGATACTAACCTTTGTCATTGCAAATGTTTTTTCCAGTTTGCCATTGCCTTTTCTTTTTGCTTGTGCTTTGGATTTGGGGGAGGGAGATGTGGAGAGCGTTTTTTGAAATATGTAGGCCAGTCTTTTAAGGTTAGTATTTAGATAATTAGATTTATTTTCTTTTAGTTTTAAATGGTTTTGTTTTTCATTTGACTTTATAGTTTAGAAGAATACGGTATAAAGAAGGATTTAGCTTTTTTCTTAGTTAATCTTTTTTGCCTGTGCTGTCTATTGAATAATGTATCCTTTGTCGTTGGTTTGATGTTTTTATTATATGCTGTTATTTGACATTTTTTATCATATGCCTGATATTTATTTTCTAGGCTTTCTGACATCTCTTCCGTTGACTTATTTATCTGCCACATTTTACTGATTTCAAGTCAAATATTTTCCACATTTTAGCATCTTTAAAATTGGGATGCATCTTAAAATCACCTGTTGCCTGGGTGGAAGTTGAGTTCTTCCCAAGATGGTCTGTATTTTCTTCTGCCAGTCACTAGGGGGCGCTACCAATCTGAGTCGGCCTCAGCTAATTTCTCTGCTTGAGATTTTCTTGGGCTACACTGGTAGTGTGAATCCAGACCATGAAATTTGCAGGTCTTGTCCCATTTTCGAGGAAGAGGTGTGGAGACTTCTTTGCCATCCCTTCTGCGAGAAGAGATATTTTTCTTATCCCTCATTGAGGCTGTAGCCATTTGTTGTCCTCCTTTTTATGAGAGTCTGTCTCCTTTTAGACTCCCTATCCTGAGCATCTTTTCTTTGCATGGTACATGAAATAATGGTCTGCCTTACAATTGATGGTTTATTATATTCAGTGAAATATGGTGTTTAATAATTCTAACTTTATAGTTTTGACTATCTGGCAGTGCAAGTTGTTGGTATACCATAATCTTGGCTATTATTCCAAAAGAATTTTGAAGTGATTTAAGTTCCCATGACATATTCTCGCCACAAAAGAAACAAAACCCAAACAGTATAGTCCTAGGATTTTAATATCACCTACTATGAAAAACTAAGAACTTTTCATTTCACACGTAAATTTGTTCAGTGTTCATTGTTTTATTTCTTCTTACACTTGGTTGTAAAATTTAGGCAAGAACTTAAGTTCCTAATACTGTACTAATACTATAAAATAATTAATTTAAAATATTAACAGTTGTTCTATCATGATTCATTCAAGTATAGATCAGTTTTGCTGAATAATTCTTTTGGGTTTATCTCCTTTAGTCCTTTTTAAAATTGTTCTTTAGAAAGCCTCAGATTAACTTAGCAAAAATTTGACTTTTTACTTTCTGTGCTGATTTTGTTAGGAAGATGCTCATGCTAGTCAATCTCCCTGAAGGTCGCCTGCTGCCTGCATCCTGTCGGAGGGCCTGTCTGACGCCCGGGGACCTGTGCTCACAGGGCGCGTGCCGCAGAGGCCCTTTGCAGTGTGTTTGGTCCAGTTGAGCGCCTGGCAGTGTGTTGTTTTCCTTCAGAAAGAAACAGCAGTGCGCTGTTGAATTCTTGCTGTAAGTTTGTGAAGTTCACCAGGGATCCTTTCTTCTTTTAAAGACTTCCTTATCTTTTCAGAGAGTTGCAGTACGATTACGTTGCTGAGAAGATCCTCAGAGGACGTTCCCAGCTTGCTCCTGTGACGGGTGACAGAGAAGTGATTCATCGACAGTTGCTCAGATGTGATTCTCAGATGTAGGGATTCATTTTAAAGAAAACATACCGAACAAAAAGACAGTGAAAAACCAGTACCACATTTGGACAGAAGAGACGAGAAATGTAATCATCACAATGATGCAGTTAAAAATTCCTCTGATCAGTTTAGTTGTACAGTTGTCAAAGTAATGTGTGATATCAACGAAGAAATACCTGTAGCATGCAGATGTTTGTTTCTGTTTCTTAAAAAATTATTGTCAGTAGGCTATTAAACTTGCATTTTTTTAAATTAATGTAGTATGTTCTTTCATTCAAGTATGGACTTCTTGAGAAACTATAGTAATACGATTTTTAAAAAATTTATGTTCTTGTTTAAATGTGAATTGTAGTTCTGAGCTGCTTTAATGCAGGGTCATTTGTATTTGTTAAGAGGAAGTAACCAAGGGCACTTATTCCAAGTAGAATCTGAGCTTCTTCTGGAGCTTTCGGGCTGTTGCTGAGAGCACGGCTGTGGGAGGAAGTGAACTGTCTCCTGCTGCCCAGATGTCCTGGGAAGCCTTCTCCCAGCTTGCCCGTTCCTACCCGGAGGGCGCAGCGACGGGAGGGGTTCCATCTCCTCTAACGTAGCCGTGCGGTCGCCTCACTGCTAAAGTTCCAGTTGACGTGAGAACCAAAGTAGAGTTTGTTTGGTTTTGGGGTTTGTTGCTTTGTATTAATTTCACTTATACCAAAGTGTTTGAAAGTATGAAATGTATTGTTTCTAGACTATAAATCTACTTCATGAAAAGACTGTTCTGTAATATTTCACTTTGTTTTACTATAGCTTCAAATTATCTGAAAATATTTTCCTAATACTACATGGGAATGCTGAATTTCCTTCTTTTGTTATGCAGTAGAAACATTTTACACTGTTTACATAGTTCTCATGGAACATAGAATCTTTTGAAAGCAACATATGATACACATTTTTTGTGTATATATTCTAATTAGTGTGAATAAAACTGTAACATCAATGCATTTTTTTAAGCAGCCAACTTCTGTATTTCTCTTGTCTTCTTTAAAAGTATTCCTATGAGTTCAGCCTTTCTTTACTTTTCATTCTGAATACCTGCTATATATAGTTAATACGTAGCATTTGCTCCTAATAATAGAATTAAGACAGTAGAGTTTTAGAGCTGAGGTGGACCCCAGACAGTATATTCCACCCACCTCATTCTGCAGCTGAGGACATGACACTGAGAGCCTTTCTCAGGCTGCTTGGGGGCAGATCTGGGCTGGAGTACAGTTTCACTGACTCCCTTTTGGCCTTCATTTCTCTACACCAGTACTACTATTTTTCACTTAATTTCCCCTTAATTTCCCAAAACTAATCAAATAAAGAACAATGAGGGTTATTTATGTATATTTTAATAAAATCCAGTTTGATTTTTCCATTTACAAGTGGTTGTGTCTGCGTTATTGAGCCTGCATCTTCTGAGCATCGGGCAGAGGAGAAGGAATACCTAAACCAATGTCCGTGGAAGAGACGTGTGCCAGCTGAGCTTCAGGAATCTTGTGATTTTAACACTTAGGGGAAACATAAATTAGAATTTTTTGGTGACGGCCTGTGGACATATATTTACATCACTCTTCAATTTCTTTAAAAATGGGGCCGGCCCCCTGGCCGAGTGGTAAGTTCACGTGCTCTGCTTCGGCGGCCCAGGGTTTCGCGAGTTCAGATCCTGGGCACGGACATGGCACTGCTCATCAAGCCATGCTGAGGCAGCGTCCCACGTGCCGCAACTAGAGGGACCTACAACTAAAATATACAACTATGTTCAGGGGGGATTTGAGGAGAAAAGCAGGAAAAAAAAATATTGGCAACAGTTGTTAGTTCAGGTGTCAATCTTTAAAAAAACAAAAAAAAGTCACAAAAAATAGGTCCTTTGAGGGCAGAGTCTGCATTTATTAGCATATTGTTCACTATTGTAATCACCACGCCTATCTCAGAGTCTTGTCACATATAAAGCACTTTCCAAATATTTGTTGAATAAAAGAATTAAAAAAAATCGAAAACATTATTTAACACTTGGAAGACCATCCAGATCAGTGGTTTGCAAGTTTTTAAAAGCAGCAGAGGGGCCAGCCCTGATGGCCAAGTGGTTAAGTTCACGTGCTCCCTTTCGGCGGCCCAGGGTTTGCTGGTTTGGATCGTGGGCCTGGACCTTGCGCTGCTCATCAAGCCACACTGTGGTGGCGTCGCACATAGAGGAACTACAATGACCTACAGCTAGGACACAGAACTATGTACTGGGGATTTTGTTCGGCAACCCAGGTTTGAGGGTTTGGATCCTGGGTGCAGACTTACACCACTGGCCAGCGATGCTGTGGCAGCGACGAGTATATAAAATACCACATATAAAGTACAGGGAGATTGGCATAGATGTTAGCGCAGGGCTAATCTTCCTCAGCAAAAAAAAAAAAAGCGTCTGTATGAAATTGAAGGTCAGAAAGTCATCATGAAACTGATGATGATAACCTAGGCCTGGTTTGTTAATATGGTATATAACAAAAGGAAGCTACTTCCCAAGTCTGACAGATCTCTGTCTCTTGATTCCACCAGAAAAGGGTGTTTTCTCAGAGTGTTGATTATAATGAAACTACAGATATAATCTGTATATTGATTTTTGAGGTAAGTATGTTATTGGAAAGGCGTGACCTACATAGAGCTTGAAAATGAGGTTGGAGTGTAGATCCCACTATCCTAGGAGGGATGACCTATCTATTGGAAATACTAACAACCTTGGTCTGACTAGACAGAGTACTGGAGATAAGACTGTCCCGGAGAACCCAGGATGAGTGGTCTTGATATTTATATTACCATTGTTTCAGGTTTTTATGACAAGGCCTCTAACTACCTTAGTGTTTACCAAGCAACATTCTGGTGGTGACTCGGTTCCCCATGTAGATTTTGGCATCTGAGAAGAGGGTGAATTGAAGTGCAGACACTGTGTGTTTGGGTTTTCTTTCCACTTAGAGTTCTCACTGCATTCTGGTTTAGGGTGAGTCAGTTCCAGGGCTGGGTGCTCCAGGGGGAGGGGATGGAATTCAGCTCCCTTACGAGCCGAGGGGCTGACGTGGCATTCCTGCTCCTGCCATAGCACTGAGGCTGCCTTTGAGCCACCTCCCTGCAGAGCACTGGAGGGACTGCCAGCTGACTTGTCTCCTTGCTCTTTCTGTAATACTGACGTGGACTAAGGCTGCCCCAGGGAGAGAAGCCCAAGGTGACCTGGCCTACATGCCGAACTATATGACCTGATGAATTTTTATGGTATGAATTAGGGCTGCCCCAGGGAGAGAAGCCCAGGGCATCCTCACCTACATGCCGATCTATATGACCAGATTCGTATCTAAAGTTATACGACCGCACAATAACCAGACCCCATCTGCACTGAAATCATTTAATGACTTTTTACATCATCTTTTCTTTTTCCAGTAAAAATAAGTCACGTACCTATGCCTTATAAATTTAGCCCTAACCCTCAACTCAGGGCAGCAGCAGGAGCTCTGACTGCCCATGGGTCCTGTCCCCATGCTATTCCATACTATTCTCTAAATAAAAGAGCACTACTGCCAGACCTTGAGAGTCCAAGAAATCTTTCTTTCGACTCCTCCGCTCACAGACCCCGCATCAATACTTGCAACAGCTTATCAGTCTCGTCCTGGTATTTGACCTCTAAATTGAGCTTACCAAAAACTGGGTAGCATAATAAAGAGCTCTGGTGCCCACCTGCCTTCACTTGTGTCCAAGTTCTACCTCGTAGTTCTGAGTCCTTATGCAAGATTTTCCCCCCTAATCTCTCAGCAAAGTGTTTTTCTATTCTTGGTCAGGTTACTCTTTCATGAAATTTCTCAACCCCCTAGTGTTGTTGTGATGCTGAAATGAAAACACAAGTGAAGTGCGTCTAACAGAGCTGGGCACATAGTGAGCACTCCGAATGTTTGCTCCTTACCCTTGCTGTTACTGCTCTTGTAGCAGGAGCACTCAGGTTCAGAGAACACCCAGCCCTCCGTTGCCAGGTCACCGCCACTCCCTATCCTCCCTGGCTCATAGCTGAGAGCTGCGAGAGAGAGGCTGAGCCTCTGCTCACAGGGGTCGAAGTGTCCGTGGGTGTGTGGTGTGGGAGCCTGGAAGAGGTGCAGGTCATTGAAAGGAGGATGGAGAGCTGTGGAGCCGTTGGGGGTGGGTGGGGTGGGGATGGCTTGGGGACAAGGATGGTAATACTTATTTCCCTGTCTTCCTGCAGGCCAGTGGGACTCTGGAAGCACCTTTGAATAAATTCTGCGTGCCCTTGTTCTCTTCTCTAAGCTCATTTTGGAATAGGATCAAAACAACATGTTTTTCCTTCCTAAATTCTGCCCTCTTTTCTCCCTGATCTTTATTTTCCTGCTTTAGAACATCAACTCTTACAGATTTTCTCAAACCCATTGGCCCTACAGAACATTTTGAAAATGACTTTATGTTGCTGTTAACGCTAGCGGGAGCTCGTGAGATAATGCAGCCTCTTCATTTGATCCTTCTTTCAGTCTCAGACCGAGTGAAGTGAGTTTGGGCAGTATACAGATGTGATATAGTAGCCAGTCACAATGGATGTTCAGTATGTGAAATCGTAGGCTGACACATAAAACAGAGCGGGGATTGTCAAGGACCCGTCCGTGAGATAAGTAGCCAATGCTCAGTAGTCATTAGGGAGTGAGCGGCTACTGTTCAGGTTCATGGACAGGTGGAACTGGTGTATTTGGGATGACCCACCATGTTTTTCTTTCATTTCTCATATTAAAGAGTGACTTTTAAACGGCTTTATTATGGAAATTTTCACATGCTCAAAAGTATGGAGAATGGTCCAATGAATCCCCGTGTCCTCTCCCCCAGCTACAATGGTAGAGTCGGGGATGGCCTCTGAAGAGGTGACCCACAGAACAGCAGCGGTAGCCAGGTGAGAAGGGAATGAAGTGTGAGGCGGGAAAGAGCATCGCACACTTGCGCAAGTGGAAGAAATGAATTGTTTTGCAGGAAATGCAAAAAAGAACTCTATGAGTGTGTTGAGTATGATTTTCATTGAAATTGTCTTAAAGACAACATTTCTAGCAGTGCCTTTTCTTTTTGTAGCCGCTTAATAGTGCTCACTGTTGTTGAAAGGAGCACAGTGGGGAATATTGGAAAGTGCTGGCTACCTACTCAGCTGCATTTCTTCCCTGCGCTCCACAAACCTGTGCCCAGCTGTTTCTCAGACCCATTTGCCTCTCTTTCCAGGGTATGATTATTAGTCATGATTGGTCAGGAGTTGCAAAGCTGTTTTGCAGAGCACTGCTGGCTCCTGGAGAAACTTCGGGTGGACGAGGCTGTTGCAGTTCTCAGAAGGGTACTCCCGGGAATAGAGCTGGGGAGGGGACCTCGTGGCTTTTGGCTGTCGCCTTTTTCAGGCACTGTGCCAGCTCTGGCTCTCTCATGTAATCCTTACAGAAGCCCGACACGGGTGGGTGTTATCCACCCCACTGTACAGCTAAGAGAACGGAGGCCCGTAGAAGCTAACCGTCTTGCCGGGACCACACAGTTAATGGTAGGGCAGAATAAAGTGCCCTTAGGCCTCAAAAATCCAAACCAAGTGAAGCCTCTACTATAGAAAGATGTCTTTTCACATACTTGCAAATCGAGTGCCTGCCTCTATTTGGAAACACCTGGGCAGTCACAAAGCCCGTTTCATATTTATGTCTATATTTTTGTGCAAGCAAAAACATTTTCAAAGACAAGGATAAATTTTAGGAGATGTGGATTATAATTTGCTTTGTCGTCTTTGCCTAAAGTGTTCTTTTTGTGGAGCGGGGGTAAAAGCCTTAAGTCAATGAAGATTCCCAAATACTGCCGTAAACAGAACCTAGACGTTTGCATAACTACCCTTTAAACTGAACAGGGACGAATAAAGGCAAGATGGTCTGTTGCCCTTAACAAAGAGTGTGGGAAAGTGTCCTAGGCCGTGCGCCCATCCTGAGTTTCTCGGGGACGCCGCCAGCTTGATTGCTCCTCGTGGGTTGGTTCTCCGTTCTCGCTTCCATCACCCAGGTTTTCCGGACGCCCGGGAAGCCGAGAGCCGGTGCTGGCCCCGCAGCCGTCCCGGAGCCTCCGCGCTCCCAGCCTGTCCTCACAAGCGTCCCCGGCTGCCCCGCCGCTCCGAGGGGCTTTCCTTGTTCAGAATTTCATGCCCTGCCTTGTTGCCTTCCCCCGTCTCTCTCCTGCCTTGCCTTCTACTCCCTCCATGTGAACCAGGGCGGTCATTCATTCTCCCAATTTGCGTTCCCTTTGTTGGCTGCGCGGCCCTGAGCATCCTCCCGCTGCCTCCGCAGGGAACCGCCTCCAGCTCCTCTCCGGAAACCCCGAGCGGGCGCTGCCGGCCCCGACC